TTGTGAATAATTTTAACAACTATCATGAAAGACTTAAATTCACGGTCGAACAAGAGGTTAACCATAGCTTGAATTTCTTAGATTTATCACTTAAAATTATTAATAACAAAATATATATAGACTGGTATCAAAAAGAAACCTTCTCAGGAAGGACGTTATCATTTTATTCAAACCACCCACTATGCCACAAAATAGGAATAATATATAACCTTGTAGACAGATGTCTATTGCTATCACATCCACTATTTTTTAATAAAAATTTGGAGTTAATTATTAATATACTCAGAAGCAATGGTTACCCTCTTGATCTGATTTTTAACAAAATAATCATCGGATAGAACACATCATATCTAAGGGGAGCATTATAGAGAGACAGGCCAACATAGAAAGAACAAAAAGTATAAGAAATGACTCGGTCAATAAAAAATTCTTTGTCATTCCGTATATAGATGGGATCTCAGAAATGATTGTTTCCTCGGTAAAAAATAAAAATTGTATGGTAGGGTATAGATGTCTCAACAAACTGGATAATATTATTAAAGCGCAGAAAGATAAAACTAAACATCCATGCAATTCGAATGTGGTTTATAAGATCAGTTGCAATAATTGTAATGCATCTTATGTAGGCCAAACAAAGAGGCAATTGCAGACGCGAATAAAAGAACATAAAAATAATATTAGGTTGGACTCAACGAAACATTCAGTAATTTCTGAACACATAATAAATGAACATCATACTTTTAATTGGGACAATGTTAAGATCATGGACAACGAAAATAATTATTATAAAAGACTCATTTCTGAGATGCTACATATCAAGGAACAAAAAAATGGACTAAATTTAAACAAAGATACTGAGTTACTTAGCGAGTCGTATTTTGATATTTTGGATATATTAGCGAACAAGAAATAATAATAGGACAAATAGGACATTAACGAGTAAAACATAGATATTAGATCATATATAAACACGCACGCTCTCCGATCAAGTAGAGTTTAAAATGAGCTGTCTTTCTGTATTGTTGGTTTGTTATGTGTCATCCTTAATAACTGTTAATAAGTAGCAAAATTATCAAGAAGAACGATGATAGGTAAGCATACTACCAATTGTAGGGGATACATATTATAATTTGGACATGCGTTGATCGGTAATTTTTTATAAATCGCAGCGCCTACGGAACGGGTTAATTTCTCGCATATTAACGATGAAACTATCCGAGATCTGAACAAAATCAGGGATCATATCGAGGCGAACATTGTTGGACAGGACGGATTGAAACACGCGTTAATTACTCAAAAACTCTTGATTCTGAATAACTATAATTAAATTTCGATATTATGTGAATTGTAAGAATTTATATTTCAATAATTATACTGAAGAAGACCGCGTGCGGTCGAAACGTTTATAGAATGATTGTAATTTGCGTTAGTTTTAATATAATGACTGTAGTTTTATAATTTATACATGTAATAAATGGTAGTTGACTGAACATCTCGAATATTCAGCTCGATAAGTTGGCCTTATATTTATCACTTTGTTTTCAATATACGAGCGACAATTGTATTAATTTATTTTTAATATACGCTGGCCTTACAATGCGTCAATTTAACACAAAACGGACTGATTACTATTTTAATTTTAATTTTATTCATAGAGTTTTTGGAAGAATAACCGCAGATTATTTTAAACAATGGATTAATGCGAATTACTTGTTAATAAGAGCGAGAGCAAAATTGGAATTTTTAAGAAATTGTAAAAATGGCGATATTTTTCCTACACATTTAGAAGGTTTTTGCCGCATTAAATTTAACGTTTTTCATCACAGATCGATCAGAAGACTAGATAGTATGTTGTACAAATTCAAAACAAATGCGATGAGCATTGAAATCTTTGATTTGCATAGACAGGTAGAGTCATTACAAAATAGGATTTTTCATCTCACCAGCGGGTTATTTAATCGTTTACCTGTACTCGCGTGGAATAGAATTTTCGAACATCATAACATTGCTTTTAAAAATTGCCACAACAGATTGGTTACTGCACACGAAAAGAAATTCAATTGGCTTAAGAGAAAACAACACTATAAGTATATCAACAGCATCAAACCTATAGATATACATTGTTCTTTACATTTTGAAACTTCACAACCGACGAAAATATCACAAAATTCTCTCAGGGCAATCACTAATGATGCCAAGGAGATCAATATACACATAGAAGCCAATAAATTTCTCAATGATACAATTAACCCTTTGGAAAATACTAATAAAAAATGGTTTGTTAATCTTTCCAACACAGACATTCCGCCTAACGTTTCTAATCTGTTGCAAATGGGTGATAAATTCTGTCTTCCGAATATTAGTAAAAAAACAGCGATACATGAATTCATCAAGGACATAGAGAGTAATAGCAAACGAAATAATATTAATAATCTCACAACGATCAGAAATATCGCGGTTCCAAAATTTGCACAACTTCTGAACACGAAGGATAAAAATGACGTAAGTCAACAAAAATTACTTGGTGCACACAGAGATTTAATAAAATTTTGTAAAGACAATCCGAATGTTCTATTCACACGCGCGGACAAGGGTAATGCTACGGTGGCAATGGAAAGATCTCATTATATTAACAAAATGGAAAACGTTTTAAAAGATGTCAACACTTACACTATTGTTAAAAAAAATCCGTGCAAAAAAATAGAGAACGATTTGAATGATTTGTTGAAGAGATGGCTTAAGGAAGATTATATTTCAAAAAACGAATATTATAAATTACGTTGTAGTGATTCTCTCCTTCCAAAAGCGTATGGATTACCTAAAATCCATAAGGAAAACTATCCAGTTAGAATCATAGTTTCATCGGTTGATACAGCTCTATACTCGCTGGCTTCGTTTTTACAAAACACCTTACGAACTAGTCTACCCAAAGCGAAAAGTCATATTAATAATAGTTTTGATTTGTACAGCATATTGTCTGGTAAAAAGATTGATGAGAATGATAGGATGTTTTCCTTGGATGTGGTGTCTTTGTTTACGAACGTTCCTCTGGATCTTGCGATTGACGGTATTAACGATAGATGGGATCACATTGGAATAAATACTAAAATACCGAAAAACGAATTTTTGGGGGGTATAAAATTCATATTGACTTCTACATATTTTACATTTGATGACATAATTTATAAACAGACGTTTGGGACCCCTATGGGGTCACCGTTATCACCAATTATTGCAGACCTGGTTATGCAAGATCTTGAGGATACAGTTCTCAAAGCGTTGAATTTGGAATGTTTGTTTTATTTTCGTTATGTGGATGACATAATAGTGGCCACCTCTATGACTAATATGACTCAGATTGTGAATAATTTTAACAACTATCATGAAAGACTTAAATTCACGGTCGAACAAGAGGTTAACCATAGCTTGAATTTCTTAGATTTATCACTTAAAATTATTAATAACAAAATATATATAGACTGGTATCAAAAAGAAACCTTCTCAGGAAGGACGTTATCATTTTATTCAAACCACCCACTATGCCACAAAATAGGAATAATATATAACCTTGTAGACAGATGTCTATTGCTATCACATCCACTATTTTTTAATAAAAATTTGGAGTTAATTATTAATATACTCAGAAGCAATGGTTACCCTCTTGATCTGATTTTTAACAAAATTAATCATCGGATAGAACACATCATATCTAAGGGGAGCATTATAGAGAGACAGGCCAACATAGAAAGAACAAAAAGTATAAGAAATGACTCGGTCAATAAAAAATTCTTTGTCATTCCGTATATAGATGGGATCTCAGAAATGATTGTTTCCTCGGTAAAAAATAAAAATTGTATGGTAGGGTATAGATGTCTCAACAAACTGGATAATATTATTAAAGCGCAGAAAGATAAAACTAAACATCCATGCAATTCGAATGTGGTTTATAAGATCAGTTGCAATAATTGTAATGCATCTTATGTAGGCCAAACAAAGAGGCAATTGCAGACGCGAATAAAAGAACATAAAAATAATATTAGGTTGGACTCAACGAAACATTCAGTAATTTCTGAACACATAATAAATGAACATCATACTTTTAATTGGGACAATGTTAAGATCATGGACAACGAAAATAATTATTATAAAAGACTCATTTCTGAGATGCTACATATCAAGGAACAAAAAAATGGACTAAATTTAAACAAAGATACTGAGTTACTTAGCGAGTCGTATTTTGATATTTTGGATATATTAGCGAACAAGAAATAATAATAGGACAAATAGGACATTAACGAGTAAAACATAGATATTAGATCATATATAAACACGCACGCTCTCCGATCAAGTAGAGTTTAAAATGAGCTGTCTTTCTGTATTGTTGGTTTGTTATGTGTCATCCTTAATAACTGTTAATAAGTAGCAAAATTATCAAGAAGAACGATGATAGGTAAGCATACTACCAATTGTAGGGGATACATATTATAATTTGGACATGCGTTGATCGGTAATTTTTTATAAATCGCAGCGCCTACGGAACGGGTTAATTTCTCGCATATTAACGATGAAACTATCCGAGATCTGAACAAAATCAGGGATCATATCGAGGCGAACATTGTTGGACAGGACGGATTGAAACACGCGTTAATTACTCAAAAACTCTTGATTCTGAATAACTATAATTAAATTTCGATATTATGTGAATTGTAAGAATTTATATTTCAATAATTATACTGAAGAAGACCGCGTGCGGTCGAAACGTTTATAGAATGATTGTAATTTGCGTTAGTTTTAATATAATGACTGTAGTTTTATAATTTATACATGTAATAAATGGTAGTTGACTGAACATCTCGAATATTCAGCTCGATAAGTTGGCCTTATATTTATCACTTTGTTTTCAATATACGAGCGACAATGTATTAATTTATGATTTAATAATTTTATCGCTAGAATTCTAAATTCTACATTTTTCTAATTTATATTTTCAATGTTCACAGATCACTTATTACGTCGCATCAAAAAATATATACGAAAATTCACCAGAAGTTTAAAGTTTGATTCATCGGCTGATACACTACGCGGAAGGTTTAGGTAAACTTCGAAAAAACCTCGAACTCTTGAAGACTACGGATTCGGCGGTGCGGCTAACAATTCGGCTCGACTGTTTTGACGTGCCGCACCGTGTATCACATGTTGCAGCATCGCGAAAACGTAGTGAAGACCATTCGATTCGTGGGGGACGAGGAATATCCCGCCTCCAGGTACATGCGCACTGACTACGTCGTCGGTTGATTCGCTGGCGCGTCATTAGCGGCAACCAGCCAGACGTAGCTCTCGATGGTCAAGAGAGAACGCGGGCGCGAGGTGCCTGACCAATCGCGATGTGTCATCTCTACAATCCTAAAGTGATCGTAAGTATCGCGAGGTCAATCTACAAACCGCAGCACATATGTATATGTAATAGGTCGCGTGAATATTTCCTGACAATGTGCGAAAAGACCCATCGAATAGACAGTCGACGACAAGAGCTTTATAATACTCGTTGCCTCTCGATATTAATGTAAATATTAACATATTGTTATTGAATTTTTAATTTTCTATCTATTAATAATTTTATATATTCTGAAGAGATGTTGAAGTCAATCAAATCCGTGATTCATCCAAGATTCAGACTCATTGTCAGTCAATACTTGAAAAACAAATTTTATATATAAATAGTATTTATTATTTCTAAATATTAGATAAGTTAAATTAATAGTATAAATGTAATATAAATTATCATACAACTTTTTCTGTCAGAATGAGTCAAGTTGTAGAGTCCACTTGAAATATAAAATATAAATATTTAAAAAGTAAACACTTTATACAGATTATATAAAAATAGTCTGTAATAAAGGTGCTGGCGCGCTATAGCGCAATATAAAATATTCATTGCCGCGAAAGAATAACGACCAGTCCTGCAATTTCAGGTAACCGTAGAGATTCTGATCTTCCTCCAATCATTACGCCAGTATTATCTGCGATTCATGTGGTTCATCGCTCGATGGTACACGTCGTGGCCTCGCGATGACTGATCGCTGACCCTTATCGCACGTACACATCTACGGCCTCAATCTGTAATTCTTATGACATGTGTAATTTTTAAAGTCACTTACCACTTATTATTTCCCATCGTACACATGTATATTTTATCGCATTTTCTATGAAAAGGGAGAGAAACGTTTTTATTTATTTCTAGAATAAATTTGTAGTACAATAAGCTCGCAGATCTATAAGAATTATTAATATCAATTACAGGGAAAAAAGCAATACATTACAGACGAAGAAAACTTTTAGTGTATTATTTATAAAGGAATTTCTCTTCTCGAGCTTTCTCTCTTTCCTTTTCTGCTGCGAAGAAAAATGTCGAAATTGCGCTATTGAGAAGAAAGAGGAAAAGCCGCGAGGTCGAACCAGCGGTATAAGTTTGATCGAATTGGTATAGAAATTTAGAAAGTTTCGCGAGCGAGCGAGCGAGTTAACGCGATTCTTCGGCCGCTCTATTTTCAGAAATTACGATCTTCCTCCGTCCTTCTGGGAGACTTTGGGTGGCGATGCAGGTGCGAGTCTTGCACATGCGAAGAGGAACGCGCGTTTACATGTACATATATACACCCTTCGAAGTCTTGGATAGACCACTACATAGGCATACCTACGTAGATACGTAGTACGTAGGTGCCTTCTAATGTGCCTCTGGGACAGTCAGCACCTGACACTTTCACGTTACCCACCTACGTACGAATGTTTAATGCGCCGTCCGTAATTATTATGAAGCAAATTAGCTAGCGGCGTGCTGTATTAGATCGCTCTTCTTCTCCTTCCCCTTCGCCGTTCTCATTAATGTTGCAACTCATCCGTCCTGTAATTATCCTCTAGCCCGCGATTAACGGTCAAGAGATCGATTACCTTTGCGTTTACGATCGTGTTTCCAGGTGTTTCGCGTCCTTTGACCTTCGCGATCACTTTCATATTATTCATATATATATATATATATATATATATATATGTCTCTTGTATCTCTTGTGTTATTCGGATATGTGTTTAAAAAACATCATAAGACATTGCGTAATTCGAATAATTTTTTTCTTCTAGATTTTTGACTCGAATTTTTTTAATCCATTGTTGATTGCACCTTTTTCAAATGGAAATATAATATTAAGGATAACGAAAGGGATTGAGAATCACAAGCGACCGATACACCTGTATTCGCGCAATAATGTCATAGATTCAACTACCCCACGAAGGGATCACACACGGCGGGTTAAATAACGTCATTTAATATCGTAATATCTAATTTGCTGCAGAGAAAAAGAGAGAGAAGGGAGCGATGAGCTTTGAACGAAGGGGACCACATGGTTGTGATCCCACGTCGCAATTACAAGCGCCTTTTGAAATAATATAACATGTCCCTTCTTCGTGAGTTCAACATGTGCGAAAGATTAAATATGCGTCCGAGTTATTCCCTTTTTTCTCTCTTTGTTTCTAATAAACAATTTGTATCTATAATTTATCTATTTTTTATCTGTTTTATATAGAAAATCCTAATTTTTCATTGCTTTTTTTAGGTATCTGATACGAGAAAGTCCCTCTCTATAGAAAGATTTGAGAATATGTGGGCTTTTCTTTTTATAAAATTCAATCCTTGCGAAGATATCGATTGGAAAGTACACATTATACGATCGTGCTCCTTGTCACCCGGCTGTTTGGATCTGCTCGTTATCATTATGTGGCTGGATTTGTGCTGATAACATAGGCCGCGCACAGTTCTTGCCCGGGATCGGACCTGGTCGTGCGAACCCGAACACCTGTCGACGACCACCAGGTAACGTGACATCACGTCACGTGAGGAGCGAGCCGGCGAGCTGGCGAACACCGGATCCACCCCCGACGACCCCGTGACGCGTCCTGACGGTAATCGGTCTAATCGACGTCCCGGAGACTTGTGTGCACAGGTATATGCATAAAGGATTCACGTGTGGTGATTTTTCATTTCGCGAAGACCATTTGCTCAAGTGTATTCGGGATGTTAATATTTCCTTCTGCTGAAGGATTGTCATTATTTCATTTTGTATCATTTATTGATATTTATCAACTAATCATAATTATAATTTATATGACAGAGAGACTCCAAATAATACAAGTAATTGTCGTGTAAGAGTTATTAGTTTCTAAATTTCTAATAGGAACATGTTGTATCAAGTAATAATATATATAATTATTTTTAATATAACACTATAAGAGAGTATAGAATATATAGCTATATAAGGCAATATAATTGGCTTATATATGTATAATAAATTGTTATATCGTAAATATCTAAAAGATCATATAAAAAAAATGCATTGCATCAATTTTAACACTCTTACATTAATGTGCTCCATGTATCAACATTTGCAATAATACTGTTCAAACTTTTAGGAAAATGTGATGTAAGAGTACTACTATCTACCAACGTATCTCGTATCAATCCTGAAGGGTTAACGAGCATTTTCGCACGCGGAAACGCGGACGCTTCTTCCTCGCACGAAAGGGAGGCCGCCTCTCACGCACCGGATTCGTCGCTGTACACCTCGGAACAGGACGGCATCTAAAGAAGGTCGCGTGTCTACTCCTTAGTCTCGTTATGCTGCTACTGTCCCCCTTTGCTCTCTCCTTCCACCAGGAAGTACGAATTCTCCTTTCACCCTCGCACGAAGTCACGTATCGTGACGCCCGTTGTTTCACAACTTGGGCAAAGTTATCTCATCAAGTCGTCACGAGGACGCCCTTTCCTTCCCCATCCTCTCTTTTTGCCCCTCTCTTTTTTCTCCCCGTTCCAAGTCCTGATTAAACTTTTCTTACTTTTACGGCTCGAGGTATTTATAATCTCGCGCCGCTCCGCTCCCTCTCAAAACCGCAGAATCGTTATCGGGACTTAACTAATTAGCGGCATTTCGGTGAAAAAAAACTCATCCCCTTGCATGTTTCACATCTTTTAACTTATACCGCAAATAATTACGGCATGTATTGTCAATTCGATTGATTTCTAATTTGCCATTTAATGGCAAATTTTCAAAATGATAAATGTTTTGCCAAAAAATAATATATTATTATAAAAAGATCTAAAAATTATCTCGAGCGATTAAAATCTCAATACTAGTCAAAAGATATTTCGATGTCTCCTTTTCGTTCTCCTTTTACAAAAAAAGAAAGAAAGAAAATTATTTTATTAATTATAATTTTAGGCGGAGTCGAAACACACAAAAGTTAAGCATCGAGTAGACTTTAATGCCTGCGTTCGACGTGGCAAGCACTACCTTGCGATTGAAGAAAGAGAAGTACGCTCATGGAAATAGGATAGAGTGCAACTCGGCCCTACGGTAAGAGAATCTAGATAAAAGCTATAGGATTTATACAATTTAAAGTCTCGCGTCATCTAAAAGAAAGACAACTTTTTTCAGATGAAAACATTCGTAATGAGTCGAGCAGCAGATACGAAAAAGTACTAATAAAGAAACGAGAGAAAAAGAGAGAAGTCGCCAGCGAACGACGTACTCCAAGCAATAGCTATCACACCAGAGAAAGAGGCGGACAGGGGGCAGGAGGAGAGGAAGGGGACGGAGAGGCTTAATCATTTAGACTATTTGCCCCCGTTGGAGCACGCCAGACCATCTACAGCCCTTCAGTTCCCAGGCAGTCGGCAAATTGCGGCTTACCGCGCCGGCACCGGTTTTTATCCTCGCGCGCACCTCGTCCAGGTAATTCTTGGCCGGGCCCCCGCTTCTCCTCTTCGTCGTTCTTATCGGAAACGGCGCGAAACAATAAAAACGAAATCGCCCGCACCACCGTGTCGGCCGAAACGTGGAAAAAGTGGAGCGTGGTGCCTGTTGGAGCGCCATTTGTTCGCCGCTTATTCGAGTCTTACCTCTTCTTTGATCCGTCTATCCGCCCACGCCAGCCGCGTAATCTTATTTTATCGTACTACTTTTACGAAGCACATTAGTAAATCTCATTATAGCCTGAAAACCGTGTATAATTTGTTAACTTTTAATAATACGAAGAATTAGTAGTATAATTACAAGATCGACACAAGTCAATTTTCCAATTATTCAGAAGATGAATCAGAAATCTGAATTCTCTCTTTTTCTTTCCAACTATAGATATTTAATCATAATTAATTATAATGATTTTTGCTAGACAAAGAATCTATAAAAAAAAATAATACAGTTATCCATAAGAAATGTTTCTACTCTCACGCGCGAATTTTGCTTCTCCAATATATATTTCACAGAGAAAGATCCGCGGATATCGCAATGAAAATGTGAATTGACGGGGTGAGAGAAATTTTTTCATGAATTTACTGGGGAAGGGAATCGCAGCGAGCGTTTTGCAAATATTAAATACCGTTATTATGGAAAAGCGATATGTTTGTAATTTTATTATTATATCGTATCTATTGTCGGCGCGCTATGTCTATTGCGTCTATTGACGTTCGCAACATATATATAGAGCGGCCAATAATTTTATCATAATTCATACACAATGCTAGGAGCCGTATCTCTAGTCGAGGAAACCGCGTCTGAGAGGTACCGACAATATAAAAGCACTTCCGTGTACAGCAGAGTCACGCGTTCACTGACTGCTCGTCCTATTAATATTTCACGTATGCACTCGTCCCCGCTACCCACGTGCTCCTCCTACTTTTTTCTCTCTACACCTATGTATATATTTACGCCCCTTGACCTCGCAGCACCTTCCTGTAGCGTTATTTCGATTGCAAATCGATACATGCAGGATCACGAGTCAGGATAGAGAAAGGGACAAAGTCTTTATCGAAATCCTTCAAATTATTTAATGGGACATTTATGAAATCGTCATTTGTATCAACATGACATCCTTTAAGCTCGTCATCCGTCATGTACGATTCACATATTCACGGCGCGTACTAAAAGATGATGGTATTTTATGTTATCTCGATCATTCAGATAGTCCTTAAAATTTTCTTTCGAAAAACTTTAGAATAAATTAAGATACAATATTCATTGCATTGAATTTCACGATATACACATGCATATCTCAACCTGCAAAAATGACATTTTTCATTATTAACTTTTAGAATAACAGATCAACGAAGAATACTGAAAGAATGGAAGAAAAGGTCAACGCCATAGTCGATGAAATTCTTGATGAGGATGAAGGAAACGATTTTGATGCGACGCAATCTGAAAATTGTCCAAGAGATTGCAAAGAACCAGATGATACGCCTAAAGAAGTATAAATTATTGGAAATCTCTTTATTCATATATAATCATTTTTTGTGTCTATCTCAAATTTTTATTTATAATAATATTCATATAATTAACAGTTATTATATAATAATCAAGACTTTATTTATATAAAGATCACGATTTAAAGAATTGATAAATCTTATTCATTAATCTCTTATAACATTGTTAGATATGAAACAAGCATTTAGAAAAGATTTGGTAATAATTTTCACATTCTTTAATTATATTAATCGATTCAAAATTGTGTCAAAATTTATTGTCATATCTAGTTGATAGAAAGATTTAGGCTGAAAATGAGTTTCCAAGAAGATAAAAATTTGTTTTGCTCTATAGACATCCCGGCGGTGCAAGTGCGGCGTGGAGAATTCAACGAGATTTTCGCTGCGCGTGTTGGAGGCGATGCGGTCGTTGCAGCGCGACCTGGATCAGCCGTCCACGTCCAGCGTCGACGACATCGTCGATTACATCCGGGCGAATTATCGCCACGACGGCGACCTTTACGCCCAGGTGCGGACCGTGCTGAGACAGGTCTGTTCTCAAGGGTTAGTTTTCGGTGAGAAATCAACTCAAAGGCAGAGCCGAAGGTCAGAGAGGATGCGTCTCTCGCGTGCTGAGGACGCGATCGCGTTTCAAGGCAATTACCCTACTATTGCGCGGTCTATCTTGTTTCCAGGTTATGCATCTATCGACCGATTTCGTTTATAACGCTAATTACATAGGAATACAGCAAACTCGTATCGGACGATGCGAAATTATTTTAGCAAAATCTAATCTCTGCTCGAAAGATACAATCATAGAGAATTACGATAAAAATCTATCTCATATATTATTATAAAATGTTACAAGAATTATATGCTTTAATAATATGAATTAAAAATATTTATAATAAATATTGAAAAACAGAACTCTTGTCGAGAATAGATTTTTATCGTAATTATTAAATATTATATATATTAGATACTTTTATTTACGATTTAATTAATTTAAAATCGCGGAATGAGATGAAAATTTATTAACAAGTTAACATATAAATATCTGTTCTGCCATATTTTAAAGCATTGCGTAATTATAATATTTTTTATTTGAGAAATGAGTTAATAATATCTTTGTAACAGATTCGTCATGGAATTATTGGGTAATGAGTACCACTTGATTGGTCCTGTCGTTAGTTCGACAAAGCCGAATGGCTGTTCCTGGAATTGCAAAGGTCGTACAACAGTGATAGACGATACATCACGAAAATGGAATGGTCTCGATGATCGCAGAAACAATGAATGCGGTTGCGAGCGATTTCCTAGGAGAAATGGACCATCGCGGGGTTCAAGATTTATTGTCGATCGCGACAAAAATTCAATAGGAGAACCGAGATTTCATTCAACCGAAATAGCACCTGATGAAAGAAATGAATTTGATACTGAAGAAGTATTATCCTCTTGTGATTGTAATGGTACTTCGGATATTCGAGATGATCAACGTGACATCACCAGAATACGCGAGATACAACGACGTGATGAACAGGTAGAGCCGGTTCCTGGACCTTCTAGAGATTTTGTGAGATTAGTTTCAGCGAGAAATGCGAAAGAAGCGCGATTAGAGGATCGAAGAGTGCAACGCGCGATTGAAAATGACGAAGATACTACTACGAAGGAGGAGGAAGATATAGATTGCGCTTGCGATACCAACGGGGTGACCCAGGTTACTCGAAATGAGCATTCGAGGAGACGACCTCGCGATCGTGTTCGCGTAATCAAGGACCAACGCAATGGACGTCGTCGCGAAAACGGCGAAGAAGAAGAAGATGAAGAAAGAGTGGAAGAGGAAGACGAAGACACAGAAGATAGTGTATACAGGGAACTGAGGGCGCGAAGTCCTCGCAGGAGGACTACAGCACGCGAACGAGAGTTGAAAAGGTGGATCCGACGCTGTCGTCAAGAGTGCGAACGACGAAGAAGAGCACGATAATCGCAAATCAAAGTTAAGTGCTCTTTATATATTTCTAAGAACTTGACAAATTTTGATCTAAACGATTATAATTTCTTAATATGTGCATGTGTAAGAGTTACTTTTCATAAATTTTTAAATCTTTTCAAAATTAATATGAATGTAATCTTTGAGACTCTAATATTTCCAAATTCTTAAATAAATATGACTACTTTAAAATTTACATAACATATCGAATATTAATTAGAATAAAAAATGCAAAATGTTATAAATTTTGAATAAAATAGGATAAGAATATAATACCTTTTCGGTTGTTTAATGAATTTATTAAATTAAGAAAATTGGTATCTTTATAAAAATTATAAACAAAAATTACGCTATGCAATTTCGATAGTTTTAAATTTATTACAATCAAGCTTGCCAATTTCGTACAAGATATTCGGTATCATTAATCGCGATACAGATCTCTTGCATTCTTCGGTGGGAAAACTCCCAACTTTTGCGAAACACACAATATATTCTTGTGTCGATTAATAGGAATTAACAATCCAGATTGTAAACCATATAAAAGCGCTTCTTGTACGTAAAATTTTGCGCGCCTTCGTCCTATAAGCAAAGAATAATAATAATAATCAAATAAGCTAATAGAAAAAAAGAAGAGTTTTTTCCACATATATTTTTTAATTTAATTTTATAAAATTGTTTTCTTTTAATATTAAACAAGTTAGTATAGATAAATTGTAGAATTGATATAATTATTTAATTAATACCTATATTTATTTACTATAAATTATATTTATTAAATATAAAATAGATAAAAGTTTATATTTAATAAATACAATAATTATAAAATAATTTTATACCATCGCGAACAGCTTTTGTGTAATCGGCGATACATTCTTTCGATGAGCTTCTAGACATCCTTTTGTCAAGTACAAATTTATTTAACTTAAATTGTTCTCCAAAGATTTCTTCCTTGAAATTTATTCGAGGTGTCGGTGCGGCTTGTCCATGAATACTTTTCTTTCTCGCGTGTTCTTTATAAAATTTGTTGCACGCACAGTTTCGCTCCTTCCATTTTTTATCTCTATCAACACATTTATTCAAATATCTATACACTAAATCGAATACTGTCGATCTCTCAATATCCTGCTGAGGGAAGTATTCCTCGCCAGTTTGTGCAGAGACAGCTGATCTACTTGAATATGACAAACATATAATATTAAATTCATATATTGATTTATTGTTTAATTTTGCAGCTATTCAAGAAGTACTACAAGATACTATAATATAAAAGTCATATAAAAGACAATTATATCTTTCAACAATTCAATATTTTTTATGACAGTTTCAGCATAATTACTTGAATTTAGCGCGATGACTGTATATTTTTAGAATGATAAAATTTTCTATCTCTGGCCATGATAAAAAATGACAAATATATAATAGTCGCAAATTAATAATTTTTACTTTATACGAAAAATCTGGACAAAAAGCAAGATTTAGATGTATTTAATTTAACGATATGTTCTCTCTTGAAATTGTGCGTTGTTTTTTTTTTTTTTTTTTTTCTTTTTCTTTTATTTCCTACATCATACAAATTACAAACACGACGAAGAAAGAAGAGAAGAGAATAAAAATGAAACAAAAAACGAAAATTATATTTTGCAGAAAATTATATATTATCATTCGAGTTTAGTCGGTAAAAAATTGCGCAATTATTTTTTTACCATTTATCGGTATCGTCTTTGCTTATTAGTTGCGAAAATGTTTCCTCGAGGCGCTAGTTGTCAATGCGACTGCCATTAGTTTACATCATGGTTGCCCCACGATCGTCCGCAACTGTCAACTCCGAACAATTTGCATAATGTCCCATAAAGTGAGTACGTCGAAAAAACTTTTGAACTGCATATTATCGAATCGTATACATATTATACTATTCTCAATCGCATCGGAAAATTTAAATTCATCGGTTTTTTTTTAATTGCGATCGCGCGTTTGACATTTTTATACGGTCAAGGCTTCTCTTTGCATCAACCTCGAAATTATTGACATTTCTTATGAAGCTACGTAAATGTTGGTAGATCATTATAATAAGGCAGAATATAGATTTTTGTATTTACTGCCATTTTTAATCTCACTATGCACATCCCTCGTTAACTATAAAACGCATGACTCATTGTTTTGATGTTTTATTCGAACATCAATGCTAGCATGATGTAATAATTGTACCGCGAAACTAATGTCTAAAAATTAATGTCATTTCTACAACAATTCTTTTCATATTTTGTGTTTTACAAATATGGAAATTACAAAATAAAATACATATATATTTAAATAAAAATCAAATTTTTTGTTTCTTAAAATGCCTAAATAAATCAAAGTCTATTAAATTATAAGATAGTTTTTCATAAGATGTTATTGCAAAAAACATTGTACTTTATCAACTTATTCTATATCTTAATCCAAGTTTTGTTATGTGTTTTTTTACTATTATATATATAATTACTTTATTGTTTAGGGAGCTACTAAGAAAACTGAAGTTAAAGATGAAGTTAAGACACGCATGCAATCAAAATCAAAAGGTCTATCAAGCAAGGATAACAATGTGGAAACATCGAAAAAATTGGAATCTAATCTTCCAAAGAAATCTCAAACCATTGAGCGTAGAGGAGATGGAGACAGATCAAAACTATTACAGAACTCTATAACAAATAAAACACAATCAACTAGAAGTACTAGTAAACCATCTGTTGGATCTTCTCAGATTAAGACTGTCAAACAAAGTTCTTCATCCTCAACATTGAAGTCTAATCCACATAATGCTTCATCTAGTCACTTATTAACAAAAAAGAGTACAAACTCCAAGACTAGATCTGAAAATGCCATTAAATCGAGTGACGACAGTACAGTCAAGAAGAGGAAATCCAGAGAGCAAGCAGGATATTCAGAGAAAAGAGGTCTTAATACAGTATATATGTCAAAATCAATCACGAGCAAGTTAAATGTTAAATCTAATGAGAAGATTGTACCTCAAACATCGACAAACAAGGAAAAATTGCAAGATTCTTCTGTGTCTGATCAAGCTAAACGACAATTGTCATCCAAAGAGCGTAGAAAATCCAGAACATTAAGCCCTAGTGAGATAAGAATGCTACATAGTGCTGTAAAGAGACCAGAGAAAGTGAAGAAAATAGAGCAGAAAGAAGATATTACAATAGATGCAACAGATTATCCTGATGTACAAGCAGATTTAGATCAGGCAGACTATGATTATGAGGATGATTTTGAGGTAAGGAAAGAGAAAGAATTTTAATAATTTTAATAATCTTGTTGAATTGCATGTTAACTTTAAAGAATTTGAAGATGCGAATTGAGATCTAAAATTATGACTACTTCTTTCAGGATTATGAATCGGACTTTCAAGAATGCACAGACAGCGATAGTTCCTCGATTAGCGAAAAGTCGGATAGTAGTGGAAACACTTCTCCTTTAGAACCCATCGAATTGCGCTCTCGAGAGAAGGTATTATTCAATATTATGTGTGTGTATATATATAATTTTTATAAATATCTAATTTTTATATAAAATATCGCAGAAGAGCACGGAAACACATGTAAAAATTGAAGAGGAACGTATGCTCGATTCGGGACACTACGATCTCGCGGAAGCGAGAAAACGAGCAGCGCGAGTAGAATCTATGCTTGTAAATCAATCCAACACGCCACCGTTACTTGAATTAAGAGAACCAGTTGGCAAGACGTTTAGGTTTGTGATAACTAAAATCAAATATCAAGACAAATGAACGAATACTTATTATCTATGAGCGTTACAACTTTATGTAGCATTTCATTGCATGTTTTTGCTAAGCCGTTCTGTTTTGAGAAAAATAAAAATGTGTCAATCAATTTAACGCATTTGCATTTATTTTTTTAGCAACGATGACAGACCGATAGAAAGTAAATCTTTGCCGTCGTCTGCCGATGAAGGTTTCGAGGATAGTCGCTCTGGGGACTTTATTAGATCCCCGCCATTATCACAAAGACCACTTATCGAGTCTCATAAACCAAAAGAAAACCAACTTGAAGAGGTAATCCATTTTCATAAAAGAATGTATTCTATGTGTAATTTATTATGTATTTTTAAATTCTGACGCATTTGTGTGCTTTTTTTGCAGAAGAAAGAAAAACCTCGAAGTAGAGGCGAGGAATTATTAGAAATGATAAAACTGGATTTTATGGAATGGTCGCTTTTAGAATGCAGCCCGATACCTTACGATGAATTTATAAGAAATTACGGAAAACTAAATACTCAACAAGTACGTATCGTTTTATATAAAACGCATTGTATCTTGATTGATGGTTTATTACATATTATATTTTTATAGGTGTTTACTCAAACTGGCGACGATAATATGGACATCGAGATACAAACGGACGAAATACATAGTAACAATAAGTGGACGCAATTTCCCGTAACCTGTAGAAAAGAATTACGTAATAAACGAGATATAAACTTATTTAAAATGGTAAATAATTCATTCTCTGCTATTTAGAAAATTGGATATAAATCTAACAAAAATTAATATTTAAATTTTATAATTAATTTTATAATATATAATATACTATTATATAATATTCTATAATATATAATTAAATTAAAATTTTTCATTAAACTTTGCAGGAACAAAATGGTGTCGGGAACGATTTAGACGAGTTGGATGACGCAAGTTTTCCATTGCGGCCATCGTATGACGTATTACAGTTGAACGATTTTCTTAATCGCGCGGGCGCAGTCGTGCTGTCGTTACTGGAAGAGAAGGAACACGGTGGTACCGTTTTCCAAAATGACGAAAACGGATTATCATTTAGTGATGGTTTCGTGAAACTCTCTGTACATTCAGTAACGTTTTTAGCTTCCAGACCGATTAAAATTATACACTATTCGAACGTCTCAAACAAGATTCTGCTCACTATACATGCTCCTGTAGAAGAAGTAAGTGAGAATATTATATTATTCATTATGATTGAAAATAAACTCTTTTGAAACAAATTCTTTTTTTATAGGAGATTGAAACCGTGAGCAAACAAGATTACATTACCGATTGTTGCATCGGATGCGTGTGGAACATTTCTGAACCTTCGATGCCAAAGAAATTATTCTATTCGCAATGCCCATTACCACTTGTTGTTTTCATTTAACGAACTGCGACATGGTGTTCGCCGGACTCGAAGATGGGTATGGCTCGAATTTTTCTTTAAGCTTTTTATTTTAATATTTTTTTCATAAATTTAAAAATGAAAAAATAAAAATAGATCACTGAGTCTCTGGGATCTGAAGGACGATGAAATGTGGCATCAGAAGATTACGGATAAAGCTAACGAGTTGGATTGGATGATAAGAACCCCTACTTATACGACAACAGCAATTACAGAGTTAGATGCACACACATCACAGGTGTTGCGATACGCGTCCTATCTAAAATCGAGACTACTTCCATAAAGAAAGAAACAACAAATTCGTCCCTATCCAGGTTACCACTCCATCATTTATTATAGTATTAACGTTTTCCTGTAAATGTAGTTCTACTAAATCCTTGCTTGTTCTTGACGAATTTAACAGATATGTAGCTTAGACGAGGATGGTTATCTTATAATATGGAGTATTGTACATAATATGGGTATAAATATCGACGACTTGGGACTCTCTCATTGGGGTAACATAAGACTTGTAAAGAATCAGAAAATGTCTCTGATGGAAAAAGACAAAGAGATGTAAATATAATAAATATGAAAATCTGTCGTGGTATATATACCCAAAATTTCTAATTAAATTCGACTTTCTTTTAGAATGAATACATTTATCGATATGCATGTGGACAGCGCGAGTACAAATAATATTTATGTCGTGACTAACAGCATCGATGTTTTGCATGCTACTTGTATCGGTAACAAACTAATCCATTAATGTACAAACCAACCGAAATAAGTGAGTCGCAGTTTTGTTATCGCATCAAATAACATCAATGATAAAATTATTAATTATTTTAATTAAATATTACAGGTGAATGCGGTAGTTCAACTTGCATCGATGTCTGTCCTTTCGATCAATCATTTTTCTGGGTAAAATTTCTGCCGTTTATAGTTTTGAAGTTTATTTAATTCTTATCAATTTTTTATTCTTATTTGTGATCTTTATGTTGATTAGATCGGTTGTACCGACGGAACGATTCGACTTCATTACTTAAATACGGAGAGACCGATTGTACAACTGAAAAATAAACAGTATATAGATAAAATTAAAACTTTGCAATGGTCGAAGACGAAACCGCTAACTATATACATCCTGGATAATAATTCTCGGTAAGTTCTTTTTATAAATAAAAGAAAAGAAGATTATTGATAAACAAATCAGATAATGCGATAAAGAAAAATTATAAATCCAATAGAATTCATGTATGGGACTTGAGTAAAAGTGATATCTGCCCAATACATACGTTTTCTATGCAAAAAGAGGGAAAGATAAGTAGCATACAGTTGTCCCCTTGCATGATAGATCAAGATATGATGAATCAATACTTAGTAAGTTTGAGGATTAAATAGAGTCTATACTTCAAAGAGATTTCTGTAGATTTTACATTTCAAAACATCTTTTTAGGCTCTTGGCACGGAATCTGGTAATGTAGAAGTACACAAACTGAAAAAGGTTTCTATTATTCGAAAAAAGAAGAATTTTTGCAAGAACTGAACGTGTTCTCGCGATATGTCTCGGTTCCATAAGTAACAAATGGACTCGTGAAAGAATTATATCGAAGGGCACTAATAGAAAACAAAGATCAGTTAGAATTGCAATTATCAATACTTTCGAAGAAAGTTGAATAGATTCACGAATTTATACTTCCAATATATACGTGCACTTACAATGCAGATAATTTAGATATTAGATATCGTTTCAATACCAGTTGAAATTAACTTACATTTTTAATTGATATTTTTACTGAATAAGAGACAATCTTGCATATTTCGAAATTAATTATTTTACAAGACAACATGTACTAGCAATATTTTCTAATGAAATTAATTTTTTTGAATGTGTGCATTGAAGTACGTTTGAAAACTATTAGAATTTTGTACACTTTACAGAGGCTAGTTGAGTAGCGAGTGAAATTTTTGCACACGTATCTTTCTTTATCACAATTCCGTCCGGAAGAAATAAATACCGTCCAATGTAGATAAATAGTATTTATAACACATTTATATATACATTTCTTTAATATTGTATAAAAATATATAAATATAAGAGAGAGGATAAATGAAATAATAAGATTGTACTGTTGATATGTATGTAATAATTTTTATATAGTCTAGACGATTTAATGTCACGTTTTTTAATTACAAGTAATTCATTATTGATGATGCTATCGGAAAAGAGTGATAATTCTAGCTATAAAAAGATAAGCTAAAAATATAGAATAAAATTTTTTTGCACTTTTGAGGAAATTTATTTAAAAATTTGGACAGTTAATAATATTTTTCATTATTTTTAAGCTTGGATAATTTCTGACACTATTTAACGTAAACATATAATTTACAAATATATTATAAAAAATATATATTTAAATTATATTCTCGCAAATATTAAAGTCTTAAAATATCAAGACTATTAAAATAAAGTTTCTTAGAAAAAATCTTATAAAATTTTAATATATATTTATATATACATATTTATATATATTTATTATAAAAAATTTTATATATTTTATAATTTAAATATTTATTGATAAATTGAAATATATTTATAATTTAAATATTTATTGATCGCGCAAGCTATTAAGTTTATCAACTTACGACACTGCATATCATAAAAAATTATACAAGCTTAAGATAGAAAAAGATATTATTAATTTCCCAATTTTTTTAATTTTATTTTCTCGAAAGTATAATTTTGTGTAGAAAAAAATCTATTCTTTTATCTAAATCTAGTCTCTTGCCGATTGTACCATCAATAACAGATAATTCTATTATATAAACCGCGATCTCTTCGCAGAAAGCATGCAATTCATTGTCAACAGTTCAATAATCGACTTAGAACGACAACAATTACACATGAAGAGACAGTTCCCAGGAAATGAGAGATCCATGTGCTCGCGGCACTGCAAATTTCTTGCTTCATGAAATTTTCTACGACTTCATCGTAATTGCGTCCTCTCAGTACCTGATGACCATGTAACTCTAAATGACGCGTGCCATCCTACAACAAAACAAAACTTTACTATTCATCTATTCCAATTTTATACTTCAGAATCTTTCAGAACGTTATTATATTTTAGTATTTTTATTAAGAAAAAATAAAACAACATCGACAATTTTTTTTACTTGCAAATGACACATTGTATGAAAGGTACTCTTTTACATGTCAAAACCAAATTTACCAGTATTTGATTCACACATATAATGGACGCATTGGGCAATGCTTCCTTTTGTGGAAAATTTGAGAGAGATAAGAATTTTGAAGTTGCAAAGACACATTTTACCAACATGATATGCGATTATTGTTCCTGGATCAACGAGATCTTGGCCAGAATTAATTCCGAGACGCAGAAGAGAAAAGAGAGAGAAAAAAAATAATGCCGCGGGTGGATCCGGTTGTTGTTGTTCATGGAGGTGCCGGGAAAATTCCTCGATACGCGCAAAAATTTATGCTCGACGAGGTTAAATAATTTGTTATCTATACCGAACACGAAATGTGCGAAAGTTTTATAAAATGCAAAAAAAAATCGATATTCGACAAATGGATGCAGGTGAAGAAAGCCGCTGTGATAGCGTATCGCAATCTTCTTAAGGGATGCTGTTCGTTGGACGCAGTCGAGCATGCAATTTGTCACATGGAGAGCAAAAAGTATTTTAATTGCGCGTACGGAGGCTCCTTAGATGCTAATGGGGAGGTCGTGATGGATGCTGCGATAATGACTAACGATTTACGTGCTGGTTGCGTAGGCGCCGTCCGAAATATAGCACATCCTATAACGTTAGGTCTGTTGTTTGTCAATAATTTAATTGCGAAAATTTTTGCCAATTAAATGTTTATTTCTTTTCTCTCTAAAGTAACCTGTTTAATAAATTCACATTCTTACAGCCAAACTGGTCCTGCAAAATACGGAACATGTGTTGATAGTCGAGGACGGAGCGCAAAAGTTCGCCTCGGAATCAAATCTTCCTACATTGTCATCTGGTCAGCTGATTGCAACATTTGATTCAAAGACGTTACACGAAGAAGATGATGGTAATTAATATAATATAATAAAGACAGAAATAAATGAAAGAAATAACTATATAATTACAAATATTAATTATGAAATTGACAATGTCGAATGTAAGAAACACTGAACGATACGCGAGAGACACAACAGCTATTACAAGATGGACAGAAATTCGATACAAAAAAATGTATACCGGAATGTGTAATTGAAAGACAAAAAGGAGACGAAAAAACCTCGGAAGTCGAAATGATTCAATCAAACGAATCTTTGATGATCGAGCCTAATATTTTACAGGTTCACCAATTCATCACGTTCTTGTAGATCTATATTCATACATGCGTAAAACGTTCAAGTAAAAGTAACAAATCGAATTTTTATAAATTTTAAAATAGCTAGAGAAACTCTGTCTTTTATAGATTTATGGTTCGAAGAGCATATTAAATTTACAATTTTTTAAGTGTATATTATTAGATATATGTAAATTTAAACTTCAAAAATTCTTAAATTTAGTTACATCTAACATGGCACTTTATAAATTATAAATTTAATCTGCCCTTATTTTAAACAATTATAATTTATTTAAGAGGATTTTTCCTGCGTCTACTTTAAATATAAAATATGAAAACTAAATGAGAAAAAGAGTGTCTCTTTAAACAAGTTATAGACCTAGATCATTTTTATGCTCTGAACGTTTCATTCTAATTGCACAAAAATATATTTTCATTTTGTAATTATGCTATATGTAAGACATGATATTAGAAAGAACACTATTAGCTCGGCGCGGTCGGGGCGGTGGCGTACGACTCTAAAAAGCGTCTTGCTAGCGGGACTTCGACAGCTGGAGAAGCGGGAAAGCTGTATGGAAGTGTGAGTGCAACCGGAACGGCAATCGGTTGTGGCATTTACGTCGATCAGGGTGGCTCGGTGTCCATCTCGGGTTGCGACGAAGCTATCTATAGGTGCGCACCGGCACAGCGAATTCTACGGCGATGCGAGGCGACGTCGATCGACGAAGCGGTTTCCGCGATATTACGGGACTTTAAGAAACAGATCGACGTGGGCGTGATTGCAGTGACCGCCGAAGGAGTGCCGTTCGTGTCCTTCAAGTGCCCACACTTTCCCTGGGCGTACTGCGACAAGGGCTATGTGTATTACGGATGCGCAAGAAACGAGAAATTCTCAGAGAAGCTCGACGTCCTCGAACGTCCACTAGACTGCGTGTGCGAAGATTCCGATTAGCTAATCAAGCAGAAGATTCTACCAAACTTGAACAAAATCACAAGTTGCAGCTCCAACTCAATAGGTACATTTCCGTGTAAAATTTCTCGATATTTCGACTTATTGTTTTGTTTAAACCTTTTAAAACATAGGAGCGAGCTTTAAAAGAGAATCAACTCCTAACAGTACGTATGTCTGACAGACGTTCAGAGAACATTCAGAGGATGTAACATATCCTCTGGATGTCCTTTGAATGTCTTCTTTCGGATATGTGTGCTGTGAAAGACAGTTTGAAGCAAAATTATCAATCTTTTTTGTGATTGCTTCAGTTTTATCTTCTTAAACTCCTAATAATAAATTACACAATTTTATATTTCCAGTATTCCATGTTTAACTTACGGGAAAAATAACGCCATAATTGCCGTCGTAAGGCCCGTACAACGAAAACGCAGGTGTCTGTCCGCTGTATGTCTTCCCAAACAGCTTATCTATTTCGAGCAGCATGGAATATATCTCCTGACGTCTTAGATCCGTGATATTCTCATGTGTTACTATCTATCAAAACAGAAGAAATACATTTACAAGCAAAATTACAAACTGAGACAAGAAAAAGGGAAAGTCTACATTCACAACAACACACGTAACATTAAGTTGCTGTTAAAAAGAGAGAAGAACTACCGAACCAAGAGTTGTCCAAGTGAGTAAATATGGAGCTTTATGCGAGGTTTCTGCCAAGGTTGGACCTAATATCCTGTACTTGGGTTTCACATTTATATTCCTATGATCAATCTTCTCATAAGAAAAATCACCTGCGATATTATAAAAGGTACGTATTAAATATGTAACATGTAGAAATAATATAGAAAACATTATTAAACTGAAATAATCCGTGCAACTTACCGATTTTTGTCTTGCTTTCTATAACCTTGAGATTGATGAACGCAACGTCGACGACACCCGAAGTTAAATAATCGAAGGCATCTAAATCGTCGTTCGTTCGGTTCGCATCTGCAAAAAAATCGTATCTAATTTTGATCTACTCTTTTATTCATATATGTCATCTATATAATCGTTTTTATGTGATTACACTGAATTTATTAACTTCGAAAAATAGTGTTTTATCATTCGCGCATCATCATATATCATTTGTATTGCTCTTATATATTAAATGTCGTTTTCATTGAATCGTAAAATTTAGATAAGATCTGCCACGTGTTTCTATACATATATTATGTATGTTCATATCTTTATGATCGATGCTCGTTTACGTTTAATCGCGATTGTGCCATCATATCTTCTTATACGTACTTTCTTTACATAAAGAATGCAAATTAGCTGGAAGCTCTTCGTAATGATACCAATCGAGAACACAACTGTTCGCGAAAAATTTTGCAACAGCCTGCGCATCGGAACAATCCCAATTTTTGCTCGACATGTTCCTCATGAATGTCACAAAAGCGTTCCAACCTGACAAGACATCAATAATTAAAGAATTAAAAACAATTTAACGATTGAGAATATAAAATTACATATAGATATATAATTTTATATTTATATCATATTACATATATATGTGTTTATATATGCGTATATACATGTATGCATAAAATCGCACCGACGCTTCTGTAGCCCGTGAAGGCTGCTCTAGCATATTTGAGATCCTTTATAGTCTTAAACCGGGAATTAATTTTTACAACTGCCACGATTCTGTTCACTTCCTCTTTTACGTTAGTCATCGCGTGGACGATAGGCTTCAAACCCTTCCTACGAGAAAAGCAATCTAAAAATAAAAGGGAAAAACAATTTTTCCCTTTTATCTATCGTATCTCTCCAATGACATGCTTTTCGCTTACATCTTAGCTTCGAGAAGGTCCTCGGGTCGCGCCATAAAGATGTCCATTACTTTGTTCTGTACGGCCTTCAAGCACGAGTCGCTATTTTGCTGGAAGCAGTTGATCATTGGTTCCACACCATAAATGATGGAGGCGTCTTTCAGCGTCTCGCATTTATACAATTCGAGATCGTTTATTACGCACCATCGCACCGTTCTTGAAGGTCGACAATCCGATTGAGCATAAGCACTCATGAAATTTGGGACTGTAATCGAGAAATGAGTCGCGTTAAAACAATACCAAGTATTTTATACCTCTTTCAATTCCCCAAATCTTAGTTAATTAAGCATTAAATTAATAATTAATTTAATAAATTCTTGATGATAGAGATCACAATCGCGTTCGGGCAGCTTATACACTTGTATTTAAAAAATGTATAATTTAAAAGATGTTAATCTGGTGTACGAGAAAAACTGATTTTATCCAAATATGTAAAACGCGCAATTTTTGCAAATGTTATTCAATATATATATATATATATATATATACGTTACATCGGGATAAATAATCGGACGGTACTTCTAGTGCGTCTACGTTGGCCGAAGTGACGTAATAATTCTCCATCAGCTGCAACAAGCTGTTTTTCCAGCAGAACGATGTGTCGACCATCGAATTCATCAAGTTGGCGATCTTCATGGCACTTTCTCTAACGAGAAGATAAATGGTTTTCAAATTTTGCGTATTTTTAAAGTATGAAAATTAAAATCAAAGAAACATAAATGACGTTGTACTTACGTTGTAGATATGATGACCTGCCACGGTTTTGATAGCCAAACGCACGGTTGATCGAATGCAAGCGGTTTTGTGGTACCGTCCGAGCACAGAAACTTGAAATCCTGTGTATCGATTGTCTCGGCCTGCATCAAGCCATGGCAGATGTTAATACCGCGTTAGAGAATCGCGCTACAATCCGTCATAAACTTCTTTTAGATCGGCATAACACGTGATCGGTTCTTCCCAATTACACAAATTTTTTTCTTTTTTTGTTAACTCGAGATCAAAAGCAATGGGATCGAATAAATGGACGATCCTTACCTTGAAATGCGCGCGAGCGTCATCCAATCTGACCCAGGCGATGTCACCCACGTTATCGGTGAGACATAATAGAGCACCCTCCCGCCCATAATATTTATCAGTATTGTAACAACTGGACGGATTTTCGCACGCAGCACAGAGATTCTTGTACCTTGATTCTGTAACACACGTACACGCGCGAAAAAAAAACGTTACTAATAATTACACTTTCCACAGTTTATTAATATATGAATTTTTGTATTTCTAGAATTACATACGTACTCAATTGATAATCAAATATCGCATCCGACGACCATGGACCAGCGATGCAAGCCACTTCAAAGAATTTGGACAAAGCGTGCATTCTGTTCTCGAATAGTGTCATATTGAAATTGCATTCTTTGGGAATTATCAAATTTTCGAGATACTGAAATATACGAGGGATTGATAATATGTCAGGTAAGGGCAACAATTTAATTTTAATGTGCTTATGTAGAAAGAAAGGCTCGCTAACCGTTGAAAAAACTGTAGACCAGTCGTTGACAGTGTTAAAGCCAGGATGACATAATCGCTTGCCTTTAATGTCCCATGTGCGTTGTACACTTTTATGCGCTATGGCCACTATTTTAAAACGCTCCGGTTCTGAAAAAAACGTGTCTTAAGAGATTGCTATAATTTTAAACGATAGACTCTTAGCAAGTTTTTAAATCAAATTATATGTATATAAGAATATATTATTTTTAATATTTAAAACAGGGATTAATTTTGATAAATTAATATATATATATTTATCAAAATTAATCCCTGTTTTAAATATTAAAAAAAAAGATATTCTTTAAATATATTAAATAATCCAAAGTATGAATATTAAAATAATCCAAAGAATAAATGATAATCTGAGTAATAATTTATTTTGGAACTTAGTTATAAAACGTACTGAAAAATTGTTCGACATTTTTGTTGAGGAAAAAATTTGTAAAAATAAAATATTGTTCATTCCATATACATTTTTATCTTAATTACCGTATTGGATGAGTTTTAATTCATTTGTGACTAGAACGTTGTATAAGTAAGAGTTTTTTATTGCTACAAGTTCTTCTGGCTCCACTACAGTGAAATCGACCTCACCTTCGATTATGCGACGTAAACAGCTGAACCTAAATTACAATTATTTTTATATAATAAGTCTGCTTGAAATGAAAAAGGAAAATTAATCGAGCTGTGCAATCGGTTTTCTTAAAAAGTCATATCTTCGTAGAAATCTATAAGAAAGACTCTCATATTTCTCTCAAAATACTCTTCATAATGTTATATATAATATGTGTTCATATATTATATTATTATTATATATAATATAATATTATAATTATCTTTTAACTGAAAAAAAATTGGAAACAATTATCATCATGATAAGTAAAGAAAAGAAAATATAACGGAGATATGGCTTCTTAAAAAGAAAACTTTCAAGTATTGACTAAAATTTCAAAACTTTCATATTATCTACGTGATACTTGCCTATCGGGTTCTATAATACATTGTATTGGACTTTCAACCAATTTCGGACAAAGTAAAGCAATTCTTTTTGAAGTATGCTCGCTTTTTACTATGCATAGTCTCCCTAAAACATATTACATATTATTTACTCTCATTTATCGAAATAATTGAGAATTATTTTCAATTTCTTGATATTTGTACGTATGCTTTTTTATGAGTTGACATCTTTTTGTACAATTTTATTAATATATACTACAATATTATAAAAACTGTTAAAAGATTTTCCTCAAAAAAAAATATTTTCTTTGCGATTGTGCCTCGTGAAAAGAAGAAGAACGCGGAAAGCATCAACTAATAGTTGACCGTATTTACAAGCTTCCAACTTCCTTTTATAATGAAACGATAACTTGCGTGATGCAATTAGCAATTTTACAGTTTACAGTTTGCAGTTTAACAGTTAACAGAGGAACTGGCAATATTCTTTTCGTGACACAATCTCATTATTACTTTACTATGACTAAATAATTTTTTCTCACATAATATTTCGTGGAAACGCGATATATTTTTCTTTACATACAAAAGCGTCGATAAAAAATATTTAAAACATTTTTTATAATAAATATTATAGTCTAATGAAATAATATCATTACGATTTTAATTTTACTTACATTTTCTCTCAATATTGACAGATCCGTGGATATTTACAAATGAATGTGAAAATAAGCCAGTGAAACATACGGAAAGCTATGCTCGACCTGGATTTGTCGCCATCCCTTTTGAAAATAAATATCCTTTTGTTACATAATTCTCTAAACGCGAGTTTTCTAATGAACGAATCTATGATTCGCGATTCATTTAACACTGCTTTATATAAAGCTAATCATATAGTGTAATCAAGTTATATTATGATAAACTTATCACTGACAATGAGTTATATTTTCACTCGGGCCAGCATGCATGCAATATCGAACTTACTTGTGTATATTAGAAATGTCACATATAAGTAATTTTAACAATTATTATTCTATAGACGTAAAAATAATTTTATCTCTTAAAAAAACTTAATATTCTTTTTATATTAATATAATTTATATTTAAAAGATATTTAAAAAAAGTGTTTCTAAATAATAAATTTTCAGCAATATTGTATATTTGTTGCTATTATTTCACATTATCTAATTGATTTTACAACTAATATTATATTTTAAGCAATTTTTAATTCAAAACATTGCAACTGTCCTTTTTTAAAGAAGATAGATAGATTCGTGTTGTGAGACACTCTTATTTATATTCTTTTCCTCATTGTAAATCAAACTATTAATATTGCAATTATTATTTAAAAAAATATTAATTTTTAATAAAAGATCTACAAAACAAGTAAGAATAATAACATGATTTTCGATATAAGAGCACGCACTGCTGACGCCGAATATAATACGTAGTATCTTTCGCTTTTTTTTTTAACCTTGAGACTTTTTGCTGACAGAGAATACCTCTATTATATAAAACTGTTAGTCGAATCGATCCAAATTTTACTAAATATACGCAAGTCGCAGTCTGTTATAATTCAAAATTCAAAACCGAATGTTTCACTTCATTAGTTTCACTCACGTGTATTTATATCGTATACACTATAAACATTTCTAAGCTTCTGAAATATATCCTCGACAATTCTTAAACTGTTGAATATTTAAATTGTTCAAAACAATTCTTAAGGTAGCTTGAAACTTCTAAAAATATATCATAAGATGTTCGTTTTGTAAAAGCGATTCTTTCTGAAGAATATTCATTTCGAAGAGCCGATTCCAATTTTTCATCATTGCATACCTTAACTCTATATCGAGATTCTCATCATACATGCGGTAGGCTGCGATTTTTTCACTTGTCTTGTTCGTTCTTGTGTCCAGATGCGTTCAGCTAAGAATATGTCTGTAGAAGATGATCGGACTTTGAGAATATATCATCCAACACAATCAAGCATGTGTAGACAAAAAACTTACACTGAACTTAAAAATCTGCAACGTATGTTAACGAAAAGACGAGTGACGACCGATCGAAATCTTCCGACTGTCCGGCGACTTGGATCGCACACAGCTGATGCTCCTTACTGCTGATCCGACCGATTTCGTCAATATTTGCGTGTGTGTGTGGATGTAGGAAACTGGAATCACATTAATCTGGTGGGAGAGAGAGATTGAAATGGGGAGACTTCTGTATAATGTACGTTGCATATTATGTTGCGAAAATTACATTGCTCGTGAGAGATAGAAACGATGTTTAATAGGAAATACTTTAAAGAGTTTATATCTAGATGATTTTTTTTTATTTATATAATTCTGAAAGATATAAAAATGTTTGTTTTTATAATTGCTGTGTTTGATCTTCGATTTTCGCAATCTTTAAAAATACAGATTTAAAACACATGTTACCTTTTATTGTTAGATGAACGAGTGCGTGTTATTATTTAGTATTTCGCTATCGCATTGTCAAAGAACGATGAAGAATTAACTTCGAATGAATTGATTTATCACTCAAGAGATAATTAAAACTTTGAATATACTGTGCTGATGGATATCTGAATCATAAGAAAAAAATTAAAAAACAGAAGTGTTAAAAGCAGAAAATGTTAAAAAGAGAAAAGTTTCTTGGCAAAGAAAATGTATTTACATGTTTTTCTTGCCATAATCGATTCATTATAATTGATAAAATATATAATTTATATGCCTGTGTTTTTACTTTCGTATATCTTTTGGAGATAAGACTACTTATTTATCTCAATTTTTGATAGGAATAAAACTAATTTATATGCACATATATGATTTATACTATTCATTAGTAATATCGGGAATTAATCTCATTTGAAAACCATAAATTTTATTTTCTCGTATACATGAGATTAACAATACGCATACATACTTTTAAATTAATTGAAAAGAGCTTATATACAAAAAGCCTTTTAAATCTATATTTTTTACAAATATAAGATATATATTAAAATTAAGAGAAAATAGATATATTTTAATAATCTATTAGAAATATATAAATTGTTCTCGCTTTTTTCTATTTGCATTTAAATATAATATAAATTAATTGTGAATATTATCAAATCAACAGGCATATGTATTTATATGTATAACGCAAAACTGAGAGATTATGACATTATTACTGATGAGTCACGATAATTAGCAGCGAGATAAGATTTCATTATTGTCCTTGAATCTGGAATTAACTTCTGTATTCTCATGTTAATGTACTTTATTTGTAAAAGAGAATATATCGTAAATCGTAAAATTTCTTGAAAAATTAAAATTTATGATTAGGAAGATACAATCATATGACAATATATTATGCGTTGTTAAAGAGTTAAAAAAACACTTCTCCATTCAGATATATTCGTATACATCAAGAACATTAATTATTATCTAAGCGTTTTTCAGCACTAATTATCATAAAGATAAAAGTAAATATTCAACAGATGAGGAGAGTCGGAAATTCCTACCTTGTAAAACAATCAAACGCATATATATAATGAGAAACATCAAAGATCTTTGAATAGCTAAGAGAAAAATATATATGTATATGATATAAGTATAGCATGTCTTATATTAAATTTTAATTACATGACTTTCGAGAGAGATACTATGCAAGATAAATTTATAATTTCTATTTCTATCATCAATGAGATAACTTGTGTCGTTATCACGTTCTCGAAGATAATGATACTGCAGCTGTCAACTGATACAAGGTATACACACATATATTTCAGTTACGAGCAAGCGTCTTGCTCAGGCGCAGCTCCTTTTATACATTATGTAAATCGAAAATGCTATGTCAGTTTATTATTCAAGTGTACTATTTATCGAGATAAAACAATAATATTTTATGTAATGATTGTTACATTTTTAATATTGGTATAAAATTTCGAAATCAAACTTTGCATTGTCGTTAAATAATATACACACATATATATATACATATATATATATATATATATCTATATGTATATATAAAATTACGTAATCTTGTTCTCGTAAAAGCAATTGGAAAATTTGCATACAATTCATACAATGCATCCAATATTCAGACGCGAGAGATATGTCGATTAAAAAAGTAGTCTAATAAAAATTGTGATATTTTACAACTTTTATATTATATTGAAGCATATATATCAGAAAATCTACCTATTTGAGAAACTGCTCTTTTCTGCTCTTGTTTTATCCCGCCGAAGGATGAATGCACGCATATGCGTATCATTTTTACGTGCAGAAAGTGCGTAAAGTGTAGTTCAGATAGTGACAGATATATTAAAGTTGTATTTTCGATCCAACGCACACATATTCTCCGACATAATAGCTCCGTATCATTGACAGCATGCTACTCATCAAGCGATTAAGAGGCATGAAAAATGAACGGGGGCAAACTTCTTGCGCTGAATATATGCAAGCAAACACGGCGATAATGTATTATATTGAGTGACAAGCAGCTCTTTCTCTCTCTCTCTCTCTCTCTCTCTCTTCGACTGGAGACTAATATTTGAGTGACGATCTCACAAGAGAGTGACGAGAAACGAACGTGTGCTTATAAAGTATTTCTTTCGAATAGAAACGTCGAATCGTGCGTAAAACGTGTGTGTCGATGTTTGACAACAAACAGCTGATCGCAGTCAGGCGCGGCGCCATTTGGATGAAGTGTTTGAAGTTTGTAGAAAATTGAAGTTCGACCTTTTCGATATACTGTGATTTATCGCGCATAAATGGCGATGATTCAAATTCAAATGCATACGTGATATTAAATATATAATTCTCACGGAAATATCAAATATGTTTGTAATATTCTGCTTCATCGTATGTAATATATTTGTAGAAAATTCTACATGAGATTTTATTTTACAGGTAATGTTTTTCAATGTAATTCGAATTTGACCTCGCCAGATTGTAAATAAATATGATTGCATTGTAACTTTAGTATCTTCCTTAATATATATATAGAAATATATTTAAAGTACGAGAGAGTGCAAAATCTTTTGGACATATATCAGATTTTATTCGAATATCATGAAGATCAATTATAGGCAATTGCCTGTAAAGGCGCACTATTTCTTTTTTATGGCAGGTAAATAATTATTTAAATATATAATATATATATATATATATATATATTTTTCTATAAGAATTTTTATTTAATTTGAAAAACTTTATATATATATATATATATATATATATATTTACTTCATATTATATAAAATATAAAGAGACATGCATTTATAATATGAATAAATTATATAAATACATAATATAAATTTAATATATAAAATAAAATCTTTAAAAAATATATGTATAAATTAACTTACATGAAAATATATATACTATATTTAAAATATATAATATTTATGTCTTTATGTGTATGTATTATTGACAATCTTTAAAATATTGAAAATTAATTATTAATAGTTGAATCAATTATCATTAGCTATCTATATATGTATATTGCAAAAAGATAATGATAATTATTTTTTTATTTTAGCTATGGGTCCTATTTTACCTTTTCTTCCAGTTTATGGCAAACAACTGGGTGTTTCACCATTAATTATGGGCAGTATAACTGCAATTTTACCTCTGCTATTTCTGATCGCAAAACCAGCATTCGGCTTTGTTGTAGACTATTTTTACGCCTGGAGAAAATTAATATTTATAGCATTGCTTGCTGTAACAAGTGGCTGTTACATTTTGATGTACTTTTTACCAGTATTGCCGGGTCCGATGCTACCAGATCATCAGTTTCAAAACATCTCGTGCGCATCCTTGCCATTTTGCGATATAGATTATGTAAGTTTTTATATTTACAATATTTTTTTATTAATAATGCAATAATATTAAAATTCCTATGTGTGAAATATTACTTATTAAAAAAAAATTTATCTACATTTATAAATTTATTTTTATATAAATCTAAACATATTTTAAATATTTTTAACTTAAACGTTTCAAAGTATTATTTCTTATTTATTTAAGCATGCTTCAGCAATCATATCATGTAACGGTACAAAAGATACCATGTGCTATTGGACATGCAAGGATACAAATTTTTCCACGCAAGTATCTTTTTATGCAGTTAGAGGAGAAGCATTTATCTCACCGGATACTACATGCCTATTAAATGTCAATGAAACGTCACCGTGCCAAGAAAATATATCAAATAATTGCAATGTTACCTGTGATAATTTCGAGGATACTCGTTGTCTATATACTTCTATTACTTTCTGGGGATTTGTCCTTTTAATGTCTCTTGGCAATATTGGTTTTAATGTTTCCAATTGTATAAGCGATGCAGTTTGCTTTGACATATTGGGTAAGTGTTTTATAGTATATTTCAATAAGACAAAATATAAAAGTATTATTTGCATGTAATTTGCAATTAACTGTACAATTTTATATATTAATATCACGAAAAGAAGGAAGAATATTCACTAAAGTTATGTGCTCTCAGGTGAAGGTGGACAAATGGGATATGGTAGGCAACGAGTATGGGGTACGGTCGGTTTTGGAATTGCAGCATTTCTAGCTGGCTACACAGTGGACTTGTGGTCGCAAGGAGAAATCTATAAGACTTATACGCCAGCGTTTCTTCTTGTGCTTGCATTTACTTCTGCTGATTTAATCTGCTGTAGAAAATTGGAGGTAATTATTATTATTCTATAGGTATTATAAATTGAGAAGAGAATAAATAGAAAAAAAGAAACAATAGAGAAAAAGAAAAAGAATTTCATTCATATTATATTAATTTCATGTCTCCTCATTGTATATTTTTGTTACAGCTGCCACTCATGTCAAGTTCGACAAGTATATTGAAGGATGTATGTGCGCTTTTGAAATTGAAACCTATCGTTATATTTTTGTGTTTTGCTACCCTCGCCGGTATTCTTGATAGCTTCATGATTTACTTTTTATTTTGGTAAAATTCTATTTTTATCAATATGTTTCATTATATTTTTGTCCATTTTCCTGTTATTTAATAGAAATATAAATAGAATTATATTATACTATTTAATTTTTTTTATTACTAGGTATTTAGAAGATCTTGCTATGGCAACTGGTTATATGGGTGAAATTAAATTAATAGAGGGATTAACTGTAGCTGCAGAAACTCTCGGTGGCGAGATAATATTCTTCTCATTATCTGGTAATGTAAAAAATATTTTTGTATCATAATTTTTGTATCAACATTTTGTACGCTACATAAATGACAATTGTATAATTGTACATATTTTACGTTCTATAAATATAAATCTAATATAAAATTTCTTCTTTTGTCAGGTAAAATATTGAAGAAATTTGGATATGGTTACACCTTTACATTCTGCTTTGTATGCTACGCATTGCGTCTAGGATTAATATCTCTTGTACCAACACCATGGTGGGTGCTTCCAGTGGAATTTTTCATGCAGGGACCAACATACGCGCTCTGCTACACGACAATAGTAGCATATGCGAGCACGATTTCACCACCCGGTACATCAGCCACAGTTCAAGGAATTGTGGCAGGGATGGACGATGGTTTCGGTAAGAATTTATTATTCAATTATACCAAGAATTGTTTTATAACGCAAATTTTTTTGTGATAGTATGAATTTATATTTTGGCAGTTCTAGTAAAAATTCTTGAAATGTTTTATATTCTTTCAGGATTTGCGGTTGGTAGTTTAATAGGAGGTATCTTGTACAAGAAAGTTGGTGGTGCAATCACTTTAAGAATATTTTCAGCGCTTGCAGCATTTTCTGCATTAATGTATCTCATTCTTCACAATATGTACTTAAAACATAATACACCAGGTAAAGATATGCGATTCATAAATAATTTGTAAATCGCCAAAATGTGTTCAAAATATTGTAAAAAAGTGATCTTTTATTGCAGACACACGAAATAATGTTGAATGGAGAAAGCCTGATGATGCACAAAGACATTGTGATGTAGCAGAAACGTAATTTTTTTATACAATTTTTTATAAATTTTCTAAATATAAAAAATAAGAAAAACATTATTTTCTTACATATATATATATATATATTTTTTTTTTTTTTTTTTTAAGAAATACATATCTCAAGTTAAGATACTTAACGCAAGAGATTAGAGATATTATTAAAATGTGAAAATAAAATTAGAAAATTGATTATGTAATAAATTTTATTTTTTACTCAATTAATGACATTATCAATGAATATACTTAACTCGATCATTAATTTTTAAATATACAATTTTTAAAAAATATATTACCCATATGTGTCTTGAAACACGTGATCCCTCTTATGACGTATCACATGATTTAGACGTATCACGTGACAGCACAAAAAAAATACAGTTTACGACGCGTTTAGGTTATATGTGAGGTGAAACTTGAAGTATATTGAAGATGTTAAAAAGAAAAAATGACGTAGCATGCGAAATTAAATCGTGATACTTCATTTCGATATGGATGCAATGAAAAAACAAAGAGGAATAAGATACGCATAATATAAAAATGACAGATACTTTATATTTGCATACCTTGCCGTACGAAGTGTTGCTACTAATTTTTGATTTTTGCGATGGTTACGATCTGCTGCGACTCAGCAATGTATGCAAGCGATTTTATGATATCGTATGCTCGGACACGGTTTGGATCAAAAAGATCAGAGGATTTCTTATTACGAATCAAATATCAGAAAGATTTCGTAGGAGGTGCGTTTGTATAGGTTATACATGAATTTAACTTAGAAATATAATATTCTTTAATAACAATAATCAAATAATTATTCAAATTAAGCATTTATTCTCTTTTGTTGTGTTGTTTTTGACACTAATATTAAGCTCTTTTTTTATGTATTTAATTAATATTAAATAAATATTTATAAGATGCACTTTAATATTTACAATCTGGAAAATCATAAATCCTTGTGATAATCCTAATATAAGGATATTTTAAAGATTACATATTTTATTTCTCAGATGTAATCCAGTATTATCATCCCCACGCACTATGTTGCGCATATCTAACAATTGGCAATATGGAAGATATAAGTGGAAAAATATAAAACCGTGTAGAGTGAATGTGATGCCATGGCTGCAAATGACAAGTAATTCTATCTGGTGGAGTGGTGGTTATCAGCTTTGTGGTTTTAAACGTAGTTCAAACTATTTTAAAAAGAAACACAATGATCATGATAATTGTTTTTATCAAAATGTGTGCGAAACAGATATTTGCAAATTTGTTCTTTATAAAAATTCCCTTATAAGTGGTCATAGGTGCGTATTTAGGTACAAATACTGTTTAAACTTTGCTTTTTTCCACAATAAACTTCTTTGCAAAAACTCTTCATAGCAATGGTGATATACAATATTGGCGAGATATATCACATGGTTATCCCAGTAGTATAAGGAAACTTAAGTGTTCTCATGCTTGCGACATTAATGGCATAGATGCAACGTCGCAAAATATTATATCAGGTTCAAATGATGGTATGATAAAGGTGAGATATTATTTGTCTAGAATGCAATTGATAATTTATAGTGTAATGTATTTGTTTCTGTTTAGATACAAAAACATGTAGATATTGAAGAAAGTAATTTTGACGAAAATGAAATTAACATAGATTTCATGGATAAAATAGACAGAGTGCGGTCGCTCGCGATTGATCCCACAGGAACGCAATTTGCTGTTGGATCGTCCGGAACTTCCATCATTCCACCACTTCATTTAATCAATATTGAAACACTTACACGGTAATATTGCAAATTAATATGGCAAATTAATTAATTGTATTACGAGATGTATGACTAGATATGATTTTGGTGTGTAGCAAACAATTTGCAACAAGCTAATACAGAGATTTCAGTTACACGATGTTCGATGAAATACGGTATCCTTGGAAATACGGTGCTGGAATATTAGACATGGTGTGGGATAATCCACATACTTTACTCACCTGTGGCTATGATACATGTGTCCGAAAATGGGATTTGAGGTAATATGTACATCCCAACTTTAATCGATCACTCAGCTTAGTTTGTGTTTCATAGACAATCTGAAACAATTTTGATTCTGGAACAATCTGTGAACAATTTATGATTTCAGAATTGAGAAATGTGTTGCTTCATGGGCAGATCCAAATGATGCAGCAATATATTGTGTTTCATCCGATTATCAATACAGTATAGTTACAGGAACACAGAATAATGGTGCAGCAGTTCTATGGGATCAGAGGAAGTGTAATTTTGTTCAGGTTCTTATTCGTTTTAAATTAAAATTATACGCATTTTGTATTTTATATATTGTCATTACAAATTTCTTCAAAAATTTTAGGTATATTTTATAAGTTTGCAAATAAATCATAGCAGTCCAATCTATTCTCTACAATTTGATAGCAATTATATGTATTGTGCTCTGGACCGATGTTTAGCCCGATTAAATTTCTCACACCAGTCGTGCAAAAAGAATGATTTCAAGCAATACTATTTACAAATGAATAATAATACCTATCGATTGTTATTGTAAAACTGTTTGATTGCATACTATTTATAATCCGATATATAGAAGATGCAAAAAATTATTCCTTTCTCTTATTTCTTGAGGAATTAATGTGTATTATATATCTTGTAAAAAATTATATAAAAAAAGAAATGATATAATTTCTAATATAGTTTTGAATAAAGTTCTGATATATATAAAATGTCATGATATATTTTGTATTTCTGTAATATATATATATATATATATATATAATTAAAAAAATGGAGAGCAAATTATACTGCAACAATTTTGCAACAATTTATTATTATTGCAATACATACACAAAAGCGAAGACAATAATTTTCTCTATGCATATGTAATATAAGATAACGATTATATAAAATATAAAAAAATTCATTTTTCGAACAATACAATTTAATTTTCTCAAAGATGTTCATAATAAACTTCGCGCAACGAGTTTGAATATTAAAACCAATAAAAATAATTGGTACAATAATAAAAATTTGGTATGTTATGATATAAATAATATGCACAAATATAATTGCATTGATCGTTTTGGATGGAAAAAAAATAGTAAACAATTTGTTACAATAGTGCCTATAAATTATTGTATACTTATTTTTCCCTTGTGCATTTATGAATTTTCAAAATCTTTCTTAAAAGAGATATATTTTATATCCAAAACCAATATATTAAGTATCTCCTTAAGTAATCTTAAAAAAAAAAATCATTTATATTCTCTTTTAAAAAATCAAAGCATTGTTCTAATCATATAATTGAGAATACCACCGTGTTTGAAATAGGTCAAATCAACTTCTGTATCGAATCGTGCGATCACATCGAACTTCTTGCCATCATCAGTGCTCACAGTAATCTTTTCTCCGGGTTGACAGTTCTCGGGAATCGCGATGTCGTATTGTTCATAACCAGTTAAACCTAAGGACTCTGCGTTTTCTCCAGGAAGATACTGCAGTGGAACAATGCCCATACCCACAAGGTTGGATCTATGAATAAATAAACGATTTTAAAGAAAAAAGTGAAAGTAAAGTAAATTTTTTTTCACAGGATTATAAACTACATTTCTTTAAAAAAAATTTAACAATTCGATGAAAATATATTCAAATTTTATCGTAAATAATTACAGTAATTCAGAGAAAATTTACCTATGTATTCTTTCATACGACTCGGCTATGACCGCTCGAATACCAAGCAGATACGGTCCCTTAGCAGCCCAATCTCTAGAAGATCCGGATCCATATTCCTTGCCAACTAGAGCAATCAGAGTCGTCCCATCCTTTGCGTATTTTTCGGCTGCATCAAATACGTCCATCTAAATAACATCAATTCTTTCTTAATTATTTGCCATCGACAAGTTTTAAAAATCCTACACGTGCAATGTAATACATGTTCTAATAATATACAAACAATAATACACACGTGCAATGTAATACATATTCTAATAATATACAAAAGAAGTAATAAATTGTATTGTTACATTAAAACTTGAAAGGTATGGTTGCGAAAATAATCGAGCCAAATTGTTGAAGTTAAACATATATATACTTCTTCGTTAGTTGGAATGTAGATTGTTCGTGGTCCCGCTTTACCAATGAATTTGTTCACCAGACGAATGTTAGCAAATGTGCCTCGTGCCATTACAGCGTCGTTCCCTCTACGCGAACCGTAAGAATTGAAATCTCTTGGTGTCAAGCTAGAAATAAAAAATATAACATTCTTAAAAATCCAGCTAATTTTCGAACGTCTCTGTCGTATCCATCGTACGTGAAACTCACCCGCGACTCGCTAGATATCTCGCCGCTGGTGAATTACGCGCGATACTACCAGCTGGACTAATGTGATCGGTCGTAACAGAATCTCCAAGATTCACGAGTACTCGCGCTCTCGTGACCGGTTTGATTTGAGGCAGCTTCTGTAAATATATACATATTCTTCATAAATATAGGAAACAGAAAATTACAATTTGTTTTAAATTACACATAAATATCGAACAATACAATCTTTTATACTAATATTGACTACTTAAATCTTGATATACAGAGATTGTTAAGAAATATAGAAAGCTAATTTCAGAAGTATGTAGATTTAGTTAAATTAATTCTTTCGAATTTTTTGAAGAAACCAAATTAAACATTAAAGTCATATAATATATAATATATAATATATAATTCTAATGACCTTTTGCAAGTTATCGAAATAAGGCGGATTTTTAATGTACGTTGAATTAACATCCCATGGATATAATTTGCCACTAGGCGCTATCAAATTCGCCCAATTGCTGCTGCCCTGTTCGATTTTACCATAAACTTCTTTGAACATAGCCGGAATGACATATTTCTGTTCTACAGCTTGAATTTCCGCCCTGGTCGGCCATATATCTCGTAAATATATCGGAGTACCGTCGGGCTTGTGACCTTAAATACATATATATATATATCTTCTGTAAATTGATTTCTTTTTCGAACATTTCTTATTTTTATCCGTAAGAATTCTGTGTCTTACCTAATGACTGCTTTTCAAAATCGAAATCTACGGTGCCGGCGATAGCATATGCTATTACTAAAAGTGGAGACGCTAGATAATTTGCTCGAGTGTTCGGATGTACTCTGCCTTCAAAATTTCTGTTACCCGATAGAACACCACAGCAAACAAGTTCATTCTGCAAAACAGAGATTTAACAATAAGCATTGCTTAAGTATGTAAAAATATTCTTGTAAAATAAATCATTTGATTTGACAAATTGTTGGTCGATTTCATAGATTTTTTCAAATCAAATAATATTTATTTTTACGATTGCAATTCTTTAAATACGACTTTGATTTTATTTAACAATTTATAGAATTATTTTTACTTTTCAGAATTCATTAAAAGATAGAACTGTCGACAACAAAATAAATAGAATTTAAATGAAATAGTTCTCGAATATCTTACTTTTTCGATAGTTTCGACAATAACATCATCAAGCGGACCGCTGTTTCCAATACAGGTCATACATCCATAACCCACGATATCGAATCCCAACTTTGTTAAGTACGGGATTACTCCGCTTTCTTCAAGATAATAAGTCACGACTCCGGAACCAGGTGATAATGATGTTTTTATATACGGCTCGACATTTAAACCAGCTTCTACTGCTTTTTTAGCAAGAAGACCTGCATCAAATAAATATTATATATCCTGATTCACACATGGCACTTAAATTTAAATTTTAAAATAAAAAAACTTTTTTATGTACTAATAATAATAAAAGAATAATCTTTAAATAATATTGCTAATAAACTTTCATGTAAAGATACAATTATAAATAAAATATTCTTTTTTTCTCGCTTATAGCAATATTTTTCTTATTCTAATCTCAATGTTTTATCAAGAGGTGTTTTCGAGATAAAAAGAATATATTAAAATGTACAAAAAATATACAAGATGCGACGAAGCTTTTGCATCAACGTAATAAATTGTAAAATATATCGATTATTAAGATATCAAGTGTGTATTAAATTATATTTTAATTTTTCTGATTAAATCCACATAAAATTTATAGCGTACCTGCGCCAAGCATAACACTTGGGTTGCTAGTATTTGTACAACTGGTAATCGCCGCTATGACCACCGAACCATGTTTCAACTTGTAATCTTTTCCTTCATACTCAAATTTTACCATAGTATTTACCTTTTCCGGAGTTAAACCGTAGCCCTTGAATCCTATCTAAAATTTAAAAAATCGTCATTTCATATCTTTAACATCAGTGAAATTTAAATAACCTTAGGCATAAAGAATTTTGTTTTATCTATTTCTTAAGTATGCAGTCGTTAAGCTTCGAAAAAAAATTCATTTTATCTTATGTGCAGTGATATTTACAATTAGTTTCTTATCAATTTATCTAATGGAAAAACTCATTAGCAGCTAATGAAGTCTAAAATCATCTACAGTTAAAAGTAAAGGAACGTTTAACTGAATGAAAGAAAAAATACTAGATTGAACATATTTTATTGTAAAGTTGCGATATTATCAGACATTTATTAAAATTATACGTCTGTATTAAATAAGTAATAAATATAGTAATATTCAAGTCATCCAAGTAAAATAATAAATATTCATAATATAAAGAATTTGTTAACGTTAATTTATGTAAAAAATTTATTTTTTAAATAAAATTAAATAATGTTATAAATAAAAACAACATATAGGGGCCATAAATCATTAAAAAAGCATTTAATATTCTATCTTGTAGCTTTTGTTCTTGTTTTACTCGTTTCCTAATTTATCCTCCTTTAAATAAATTTTCTCCCAAAAGACATGATAAAATTTATAAACAACTGTAAGCTAAGAATCGCACAAGATGATACTTCTTGTGTTATTTAGCAACATATGTTATTGTTCCAAACCATTCTGATAGTTTCACCTTACAAATTCGGCGGAGTTCAACGAGCGAACGTAACAGCGAGCTAACGTTGTGATATAGAAATTCATTGTCCTGTAAACGATTTGCTGAAGAAGCAAAATGGGTTTGCAACGATCTTGAAGCAATCGCAAGGTCTATGACCGCGTGCATTTAACACGTGTCACGATTCAATAACGATGATTTCTCATGTCTCTTATCTTCTCAAAAAAAGAAATAATAAAGAAAAAAATGTTATTAAGTATTTAAAAAATAATAATTGCATCTTAAGATAAGAACACAAAATAATATAGATATTAATAACAAATTCAAAAAGTGTGCATTTTTATGTGAACAAGTCGTATTTTAATTTATAATTATATGTATATCAAACAATAATTTTATTCATCTTATTATATTTGTTGTTTTAATACTATTTTTACTTTGAGAAAGTTTGGAAAGTATAATCACAATTATTAATTTTATTATTATGTCAATTAAATTTTATAAAAAATTATCTTTCAGCCAAAATTTTCTATCGGTTTTTGTAAATGTATCTCTTTCTTTATCGACTCTAAGTATTGTGCCTTAATGAGAAATCCGAGCTATCTCTATATACCAGCATACATGTCAAACGATGGCTCGTTTGCAATGAAATGTGTGAGCTTTGCAAAACGAACGTAGGTAGTAGGATGTTGTATCAGCAATTTCAACGCGAGTCTGAATATACGTCTTCCAGAACTTATGCGAAGTGCGATCAAAGACTCTTGTCTTCTCCGACGAAGCGGACGGATCGATCGATCAACGGTACGTGTACAAATTATATCTTTTCCCTCATAAATTGTTAAGTGCCACATTCACATTCTCTTAAGTTCCAAAGGATAAAAGAAAGTAACGTGTTATACAAGAAGAGTCCAGCAATCTCTATCAAACATATTGAAAAATTCAAGTTGTAAGCTGATTTTATGCTGCGATTATTCTTTTATAAATGCATTGAATATTATATATAAATCTGTAATAAATTCTTAACATTCGCAAATAAAAATATAACGTAATCTGGTGTTAATTAATTTTGTTGCTTAAGAAAAATTAAATCTTGTACTTTCTCTCTAGCTGCTGATTTTAAAAACCAACAATAATGCAGCTAATAATAATTAATTAGTTTTATCGTATAATGATGAGTGTTTTATAGATGCTGAAAACATATTCATTAGTGACGAAATAATGACATATTTCTATTAATGACTTGAAATGAAAATATCATGTTCTAAATCTATGAAATGAAAAGTTTTCATTTTTTTAAATTAAAACATATCAAAGGATATACGAAATCATAATTTATATTTTTTAAATATTTTTACACTACTCTTATCTTCACACGAAGAGATGTTGCTTTTGGAAACATTAAAATTAAATATTTTTACATTTATCACACACATATGTATTACATATGTAAAGCATGTGTCAGGAAAAATCATTTTAATTTAAAACTTCAAATTAATTTTAAATTCCATTAAAGTTTATTTAACTGATAAATAATGTTTTTAATATTTATAAAAATTTATAACTTTCTAATAATTTAATTTTTCGAGTTAAACTCGACATTTTTGATATAAAAAATCTGCCAATCTAAAAATTTGTCATTATTTCTATATATTACTAATATATAAATGTATAGTGAAAAGTATATAAAATATATCTCTTATCGCGATTTTTTTTAATCAACCCCGATCGTTTTCGATTCTAAATCCAACTGCAAAGAAGAATTAAATTTAAGGAAAGCACTTTGATTCATTTGGATGAGTTTCTTCAGCAAGTATGACTTGTCATAGGCCAGGTAACACGATGCCAATGTTGAATATTTTGAATAGAAATCGATCGATACGTTCTTGCACAATCGTAAACACGTATTGTTTCGATCCGTTGAGCGATCATTTACCGTGGTTCGCCTATTGGATCAAGACCATCAATCTGACCAAGAGACCACCTTTTCTCAATAATCGTGAGGTAAATATAATAATAATCGATATATATATATTATTTAATAAATAGTTTACGTAATTATATATGTATATATAGCACTATTTTTTTACAAACTCTTTGTCTAGAAAGCAAATTTAAAAATATTCTTAACGTAATATCTAATGTTGCAAAAAAACCGCGAAGTAATATTTAATTTAATATATTAAAACAATTTTAAAATACTTAAACTTTTATTAAAGCTTTAATTTTTTTTCAATTTCCAGTAAAAATTTCTAAACAGTTTGATGATTAATCGTAGCTTCAAATTCAACTTCTCATTGGTTTCAGATATCGTCGTTTTTGGTAGGGACCTAGTAGAAGGGAGGCCCATTAATAAAAGGGCTCAACAAATATAAAGAAGTCAGTTGAATAGTTGACTAGTTGTCCGTCACAAACTCATCGAGCAATAGTAAGTTTTTCTTATATCTGCAATATTCTTAAATTTAAAATAGTTTTGTTAAGAAAATTTTGTATAGTTTATCGAAATTGTTTTACGCTTCTAAACACAAAGAGTTTGTATCTTTTAATTAAACTAGCTTGAATTAGTTTACTTTCTTTCTCTCTAACTTAAATATATATCTGTTTCACATTTTCATATAGAAAGTATATAGAAAGTATGGAAAAATCACTGATCAATAATTTCTTTACATCCTATATAAACGAGTTTAATGAAAAATTCATATAATTTTGTGCTATTCAATATCTTATTGTGTATATGTGCCTACACCACTTTAGGATATTCTTTCAAACTGGATCGAGATAAAAATTGAAGAAATCTTTCTCTGTGAATCAATAAAGGCGATTATATTGTTGGATGTGATCATATCCGGTAAAGAAAAAGTAATAAAAACCTTCACCGGGTAATGATTGCATCCAATATTAGATCCCTACACTTCTCTGGTGTGCTTAAAATATCTTATTTTCATTTTCATCATCTGTATCATTTTCAAAATTCTTGACATGGAGACGAATATTGATCTGGTGCGCACATAGTAAGAATTTGTGACTAGATCATATACTCGTCTTTAATGACAAGAGATAATCCTCGCCTGAAGATTCATCGTTCGGGACATACCTCACGTGTCTTGTTCAATTATCTTTGGTGATCTAACTATATGCTGAATAATCGAAATATCATAAAGCTAGATCAGCAAAGCTTAAATGTTCGAGATATAGAAACATAGGACTTTAATCAACGATTGTGTGAATAACGACATGCTTTTCACAGCAATTTAATATTAATGCTGCTAAAATATGCGAAATTAGTATATATTTCTTTATCGCGAGTTTGTTTTATCGTATTATTAACATATCAGTTTATTGTATGAGTTGATCTAGAAAAATTGTTGATATTCTCTTAAAATGAATGTGTAAAAGCAAACGCATTCGATTATTGAATTTGTACATTACACTAGGGACTAAATAAATTTAGGAATTGAGTAACTGCTTATGTTTTTTAGATGATAGAGTCTAAAGGAACTTTTACTGTGATATGTTCAAATAAAATAATCATATCACAGTAAATGTTTCATCATTCTCTGTCAAACATTCTCTTCTCCTTTAACAAATTTTTTTCACAGAGAAAAATAGCGTTTAAACTTTATAATCGGCAGGACAGAGGTACAACGCGCGAGATGGATATAATCCAGTTTGGCTAATATTTATATTGTCACTGGGTAATATTCGTCCCTTGCATGTACTAACTAATCGTCTTTCCTGGAAAGCGTTAATTCTACATCGTCGATAGGTGTGTAATATTATATCGTTATGTATGTGTATGCAACTTATTAAATTATTAAGTATAAAGAAATATGTCTGAATATATTAGATTAGATCTAAATATATCAGAATATATCAGAATGGAGATAAAAATAAATCTGCTTGATAGAGAGTGCAATATACATTTTCACGCAAGAATATTTAAGAATACTTGTTTACGAGACAGTTTCTGAAATCTATTTGCTCTCACCTTGTTTACGAGACAGTTTCTGAAATCTATTTGCATGTCGGAGACTGAAACTCTATCGTGCGGTCTTTTAGGTCCGCTGACGCTTGAAACTACAGTGCTCAAGTCCAAAGTGACCACTTCCGAGAAGATTGGATCCTGACTCGCGTCATCGTAATTCCTTAGCATGCGTACGCTTCTAAGATACTTCTCAATTCGATTAATATGTTCATCTGATCGACCTGTATAGAGAAAATACTTGTAGATTTGCATATATAAAAAAATTCTAGGCTAATCGTAAAAAAAAGTTTATATCGTTATCTTTTTGTATTTTTAATTAATATGTTTTATTTTTAATTAAATTTTAATTAGTATTATATTAATATAACTAATACTTAATTAATAAAATATAATTATATCCATTTATTTATATCGATATTTAATCTTTTATAGTACAAAAAATTTACCTGTTTGTTTGAGATATGCTAAACTTTGTTCATCTACTGCAAAGAAGCCTACGGTTGCTCCATATTCTGGACACATATTAGATATAGTAGCACGATCCGCAATACTTAATTGCGATACTCCCGACCCAAAGAATTCAACGAATTTTCCAACCACTCCGACTTGTCGCAAATTCTGCAAGTATATATAAAAATATATGCTCATTCTGATTGTTTCATTATCATGCCATTAATATTAAATATTCAATTGTAAACTACCTACACACACAATTATAACATTAAAAATAATAAATTATATTGTAAACGTTAATAACATTATATAAAATATCAAGATAAATATATTAAAACAAACAAAAAAATCTAAATTCATAATTAGCTAAAAAGAAATTTTACCTTTGTAATTGTAAGAACAAGATCAGTGGATGTAGCATACTGATTCAATACACCCTCCAATTTATATCCTACAACTTTTGGTATCAACATAGAAATTGCTTGACCAAGCATAACAGCTTCTGCTTCAATCCCACCAACTCCCCATCCAAGCACACCGAGACCATTGACCATAGTAGTGTGAGAATCAGTACCGACTACACTGTCAGGATACAGAAGATTGTTGAAATCAAATACTACTCTTGCCAAATATTCCAAATTCACTTGATGAATGATACCACTTCCAGGTGGTACAATTAACATATTTTCAAATGCCTTTGCACCCCATTTGAGAAACAAAAAGCGTTCCTTGTTTCTCTCAAATTCAAGTTCTTCATTCTTTTTTAAGGCATCAGTACTGAAATATGCAATAATATTCAGATTAATTCAATCATATTATCATTAGGTGATGTAAACTATAGAATTGAATATCCCTGTTTTTTATTTATCTTTTTTGCAATGTTATCAAATGTATTATGTAAAACATGTTTGCTTATATAATATTGTAATAATGTTCAAGTTCAAGTTCATATACTGATAACCTTTTCCTCTTTGTAGAAACGTTATCATCAAATATCAAATTATGATTGATAGAGCAGTGAACTTTACCTTCTTATAAAATCGACTTGTATCGAATGATCGATCACAAGATCAGATGGACAGACTGGATTAATTTTATCAGGATCACCACCAAGTTTCTTCACAGCATCTCTCATTGCAGCAAAATCCACGACTGCTGGTACTCCAGTAAAGTCCTATTTATAATATAACAATAACAATAATAAGTATATCTCTTATATACTGCTGAATAAAATCTAAAAATTGTACTCCTTACTTGTAATATGACTCTTGCTGGTTTAAAAGCCACTTCAACTCCATCTTGGACAGCTTGATTGTTTTCCCAATCCAAAATTTTCTCAACATCACTTTTTGTTACTTGAAAGTCATCGCAATTACGTACAGCACTTTCCAAGAGAACTCGAATAGAGAATGGCAGTCTGTCTGAATAACAGAAATTAAAATATACAATTTAAATATAATTAAATATACTATACAATTGAAATATATAATTTATTTATATGCATAAAACATTCCAAAGTAATAAATAAGCAATTTATTTTACCATATTTTGTCCCAAAACTGCCAATATCATAATATTGGCATTCTTTTTGTCCAATTTTAATGGATTTTAGTAGATGCTTATAAGGATTTATCCCTAAAATAATAGAAATATTGTTTTTCATTAAAAAGTTTAAACAGAAGAAAATATACAATTGTTATTGTGGCACTTTTTAATTAAAATAAATATTACAATATAAAAAATTAAGATGAAAAAAATTAATAAACTTTTATATATTTAAAATATATCTATTGTATTTTTTTAAAAGATTTATTTTAATATTGCATTTAATGTTTATTTCATATGTAAAAAGTATAGTTATATATATAATAAATATTAAAAAAATTATAATAAGTTTTTACATAGAGAAAAGGATGAAAAAATTTAAATATTGAAACTTATATTTTTATGTTGCAACACTTTAAAACATCCATAAATTTATGTTCCAATAAAGTATATAACATTATAACATTTTCACACTATGAAATAACTTAAACTTTTTAAACAATAAACTTTTTTGAATATGTATTACATTTTTTATATGTTGCAATTTCAATTGAAACCTACATATAAATTTAATTCTATTAAATTCGAATACTATTAGTGAAAAAGTGCAAATTAATACTTTTCATGGCAACAAATTAATTTAACATAATGACGCAGCAATAATAAATCCATCTTTTTCAATAGTTTGTGTTTTTTTCAATAAAATAATAGCAACAAATAAGTTCACATCTTCTTACTTACCAGCCATGATTGTCACTGCACAAGTCACGTCCACGTCTCACGTCGGCCCCGTCGTGCGTATATAACGTTTTATACCGGGTGTCTTATAAAATACTTACGTCGCGCCCACTGATAAAAACAAACGGAATCGTTCAGGATATAATTCTTTCCACGATTTTTGTCGCGCAAAAAACTATTGTATTCTTTATTTTTAATTTTTCCACACAGATTTAAATGTTTTATTTTTTAGAATCGAGATTCAGAATAATACGAAAAAAATACGATGTAATAAAACACGAGACTATATTATAGGCACTTGATTACAGAATGTGGTCCCTCAGAAATAAATTTATTTCGAAATTAATTCAACGCTCGTGAATAATTTATTCGTACAATACAATATGTTTCGCAATGTAACGGAAGGAAAGGGTAAAGTTCAAATTACCAGACAAAACAACTGCATTAAAGCCCACTCGGTATATAATCGCCTGAGAGGATCACGTGGTACCATAATATCTACATGTGTATGTGTGTATTCGCGACAAATCGTATCGTGAACTGTCATTGAAGGTTAGCTGAAACACGTAAACGTAAATAACAAGCTAAATATAGTGATAACGCGATTATTTTTCAACAAATCGTGGTAATTTCGAACGAAAATAACTACTAAAATATCGAGAATGGAACGAAATTTGGTTAAAACGTTGGATGACACGTAAGTTGTACATTGTAGTACATGTACTTACAGCTTGTATTAAATAATCTCAATAATATGAATTTCTTAAATTTTCTTTTTTTTTAATTATTTAACGAATACTATATATTAATTTTTCAGATATACTAAGGAAGGCATCGTTGGCTGTATTTTGGTAGATCATTCTGGTCTCTGCTTAGGAGGTAATAAGTTATTAAAAAATAATATAAATGGACCACATACAGAAAAAGTCTAGAAATTTATAAATATAAAGTTGACAAAATCAGAATGCAAGATTATAAAAATTTTTACAGTTAAAGGTGATGCATCAAGTGACAGCGCGGGATTGATAGCAGCTATATCAGGTCTAGTTGCAAAATTAGAGCCCAAGTCTAAAGCACCAATTATATCCCTTCAAAATGACAGCAGGTAAACTCTCATGATATTAATAATTTAAAATAAAAATTTTTAACAATGAATATTATTACATCAACTGCAAATTATTTTCAGGCAGTGTATCATATATCGCAAGGGTCCTGTAGTTGGTGCTGTATATAAAGATATATCAACTTGAAACAATTATTCTTGTTAAATACCTGGAACTTACTTATATCTGAAATTAGATGTATTTAGGAATATTTTGTTTAATAAGTTTTATAAGTTGAATATACGAATTAATAAAGAATTTTAATAAATGTAAATATAATTTGTCATATATGGAGGGATTTGTAATTAATTATACATAACTATAAAATTATATAGAAAATAAATATTTGTATATTATACTTTTTCAACATTTATAATAAGCTCCTATGTAATGTAATGAGTCTATTGCATTACAACACAGAGTTTGTGTATCATTGGTGTCCTATACACGTAAATCATAAATAAAATCATTTATTTAATTTACAATTAGCTTAAAAATTTTTAATCGCTCTTTCCCTGTTTGCTTCTTCTTTTGTACCATTTGTTTATAGCAAGCCTGAGCAATTCGTGATTTTCGTATAGCCACGATGCAAATACAATTAGGAACATTATTATTCCAATGAATAGATGCAATATTTTTTCAGCTGGGAAGAAGTAAGCCTATAAGAGAAATAGAGAAAAAATGGACATTAAATTGAAATAATCATAGATGTATACAGAAAATTAAAACAGATATTTTACGTGTGATAAATTAGTAATGAATGCTGCAACTAGTAGAGACGCGGAGAACATAGGCCTCGGTACTAATCCGCGTAGAGGATGATATATCGTGTCTCGATGTCTTCTATTGATGAACGTCGCCGAATGTATGATTCTTAGGCTCATATTTACGCAGTTGCCGAAAATAAAACCAACTGGACCAAACCACATGGCGAACAGATACGATGCGCCAAGAAACGCGATAGATTCGTAGACCATAATTACATTGCTCTTATTTATAGTCACACTGTCAGCTGTTGCATTAGTGTAACATTCTGTCACACCATTAATTCCCAACAGTAATACGGCAAGACAGTGCGCTCTTAGCAGAAGGACGGGTAAAGGTAAGGTCAGTTTCGAGCCACCGTACAACCAGAGTAATGTGCTTGAATAGGACTGACCGAATACTAGAACAATCAGACCAATAGATGTGACAATGGAACACAAATGTGTCAACACATTCACACTCTCTTGTACATCCGCCTGAAAATATCATAGTTAAATATTTATATTTATAAACAGATATATGTTAAATATATTATCTCTTATAAAAATTGTAACTCACTGCATTTTGCTCAGATATCGGTTTGTCTCTCTTTACTATCTGTGTAAAATAAAAATATCCACTTTCCTCGATTGGACGGAAAATAAATCTAGCAGCTAATGAGCCCAAATTATTTACAATCTCATAAGTACCCTTAAAAAAAAAGATAAAAGTTCATGATATTGAAAACAATACTATAATATATGTATGTATTAATTTATAAATGTACCTGTTCTGTGAATGTTAATACTGGCATTATAGTCATAATCAATCTTTCGCCTTCCGTTAGAATTTGCTTTAGTATTCCTTGCCTGAAGAAGCTCCATGTAAGAATAGTTAATTTTTTATCAAGATACGAGTCCTACAAAATAACTATTGTATTGTTCTTAAAGAATGATGTGACAATGCGATTACATTTTTACATACGTTATTCACCAACTGACCAGGTAAAAAGTCCCTCACAGTGCAAAAGGGAAACTCTCTTACCACAAAACTCTCATCATTACTATCTCTCAAAGACATTCTTCGTTTCTGTGTACATTTATTCAACTTTGCAATATGATAGTGAAAGTACACATAGTGACTAGTTGTATAAAATATTGCTGCAATCAATTGAGCTGTGCCAAATGCAAATAATGCATTCTCTGGATGATATAATATTAATGGGACAAATGTCATAGTACGAATAGCAATCATAATCGTGTCCAGAATTATCTAAAAGAACAAATACATAATATGTGAAAGATTTGCATTTCTTGAAAGATTACATATTTTTTGTTGTATTGCAATTTTTTTCAATATTTTTCTTACTTTAAGTCTAACAAACAGAAATGCGTTTGCAACTAATTGAACAATTAAGGAAGACAATTCTATGATGCACGATAGTCCAACTGCCCAAACTGCAAACGTATAATATGGTGGTAATGCTTCTGTAGTAGAGAGCAAGAATAACCAAATGTATCCAAATAGGAAAGACATCACACAACATATGGGTACTCTAGAAAATATTAATTAAGTTGTATAATTTTATTGAATGGCTAAACAAACAGGGAGAAACAAGTTGACTCTAATTAATAATAATAAGAAAATAATGCATATATTGAGATGGGGAGAAGAAAAAAAATTGCATAAATACAATAAAATTCTTGGAGGAGTTGTTAATAATTTGTTATATATGGGACAAGATGGCAAGAAACTAACGTCAGCCAGAGTAAATTCACAACTTGAGCCCAATTATGCTCTGCTGTATTAGTCAGACATGCTTTCATGAATGGTTCTCGTGATAGAAACAGTATCATAGATTCCAGCAACAACAGTCTCACGTTAATAACACCTAAGACAGCTTGACCTACATGCCGGACGACAAAGGCATTCAAGAAAAACGTGACACAGCGACAGAATATCTGGAAGAAGTTTTAATCTCTCTAAAATTTTATATAATACAGAAACATATATATATATATATATATATATATATTGCAATTAATATAGAGAAAGTAATGCATGTATTAAGAGTGGGAGAGGGAGGAAATAAAAAATTTGCATAAATACAATAAAATTCTTGGAAAAGATTCAAGGGACAGCATAACTTGTTATTTATAATCAGAAACTCTCTGATGATATTTTATCGTCGTTATACCTGAAATATAATGCTGAAAGAGGCATTCTCCAGGCTGCTCGTCAGAATATTTCGCCGCATTTTTAAGCTGATCCGATTGGAAAAGCATGAATATTTCGAGATTCCCGCCGAAACGTCAACGAAACGTCAAAGCAAGTACAGAAAGGTTATGTGTCAATAAAATGATAAAATATAAAATTACATTCCTCATTCATCTCTCTTCGATTTTAATTATCGGAGGTAATAATTGAAAGAAGGGACTCTCTCGAAATCTTTCTCGTTCGAGAATACAACGAGAAAAATAAAAGGTTAGTCGAGTTGCATGACACTTTGTAAATCGCAACATATGCTCCGAATCCCGGATCGAAGACGTGTAATAACTTTTCAAGGAATCTTGACGTCGAGCTGACTGCTGAATAATAATTACAAACGGGTTTTATTATAATCAGAGAGATAATTATCGGGTTCTAACACGTCTTAAACGACCGATGTTAGTTTGCTCTTGAGTTCGAGAGGGCGGCGCTGAAATTAACCTTCAAGTTTCTCCGAAGAAGAAAGTTTGGTACATACACGTTTTTTTTTTTTGCGCAACAATATACAGATGAATATAACCCTTTTTCTCTCGCAACGGCCACGTGAAGACAAAAATGAATTTTCCGCAAAAGACGAGGGAGGAGATCAAAGCGGAGCGCGAGGCGAAAAAGGCCGCCAAGGCGGCTGCCAAAGCGTCGAAGGGAAAACCTGGTAAGGTAGCGAACAATAGTGTCAAGCCTCAACCAGCATCTTCGCTGACCAATTGTCAGATTCCGGAAAAAAATCTAGAAGAAGAGGTAGCGAAGAAAAATGATAATAAAGTAGCAGAACCGGGTGTCAAAGGTGAACTCCTCGTAGCCAATTGTGATACCTTGAAAAAGGATTCAAGGACGAACTCGACGAGGGAAGCGTCCAAGGAAAACCTGCTTCAGACTTCGGATCCTGCTTCCGAGGATAAGAGCAAGGAAAAAAGCAAGGCCGAGCTTCGCGCGGAACGAAGAGCTAAGCAGGAAGCTCAGAGAGCTGCGAAGCAGCAACAACAAGAACAACAATCATTATCAAAGGACAATAGCAGAACTAAAGCGCCTGTTAAATGCGTGGAGACGGTATCCGAGTGCGCGGTGACGAAGGATGTTGGAAAAAGTGCAATTAAAGAGGACCCGCATCAGCTTAGTTTGTTCAAACATTTATATCATGAGAGAAAAAACTCGCGGATCGACGTGGCTCCTGTCAACTCGAGTATACATCCGGTAATAGTTAGACTAGGCATTCAGTACGCTAGTAAAGTTATCGTAGGCAGCAACGCGAGATGCGTCGCGCTCCTGGCTGCTGTCAAACAGGTGGTCCAGGACTTCGAGAAACCGGCCAGGCAGATTTCGTACGAGGCCTCGAGACGTGTCTGCAACAATCCCTGGCGTACCTTCGTCATTGCAGACCCCTGGCTGTCTCCCAGCAAAATGCTATGCGTCACCTCAAGTGGCAAATGACACGGTTCTCATCGTTGTCTGATGAAAATGTAAATAAGTATTTGCATCAGCTTTTCATTGAAAACAAAGATAGATAGAACAATTTGAATTATTACTTATGTTTCTCATGTTTAGCATTTAATAATTTAATGTTTGATTTCTTTCCAGGTAAAAAGCAAATTACAAAACATAATAGACACCTACATTTCGGAGCAGATTCAGCTGGCTGATAAAGCAATATCGATAACGATACGAGAAAAAATCTCAAATGGAAATGTTATTTTAACTTATGGCTAGTAAGTATTCAGATTAGTTATCAGTCATTTACATGATTTAAGTTTCTTATTCCTACAGATTTCTGTTATTGTTTCTATAAATGATATAATCTTCTGACATATAATTTCAGTTCATCCTTAATTCACAAGATATTAATAGAAGCACATGCTGCTGGCAAACAGTTTCGCGTAATCGTGGTTGATGGTAGACCGTGGTTAGAGGGAAAGGAACAGTTGAGGCGTTTAGTAAAACATGGAATTGAGTGCTCGTATATATTGATCAATGCTCTCAGCTTTATCATGCCAGAAGTATATAGATATATAAATGCAGTTGACTAAAGAATATATTACTATAGTTTAAATCTATAGTTGCTTTTCCATGTAGATCAAAACTCAGATAAATCCCACTTTTGTCTTTCTTCAACATCCATGTTAAAGAAAAACAGAAGTGAGATTTAGCTGAGTTTTGATATAAATGAAAAACATATATATATATACATTCATAAAAAGTACGTAATTTGGATTTTTTTTAAATATGGATTCGAGATAATTTAAAAATTAATTGTTTCAATAGTTTTCACTTCATTAATTTATTATTTCACTGTTCAGGTTAGTAAAGTTTTTCTTGGTGCCCATGCGATATTAGCCAATGGAGCGGTGATGTCAAGAGCAGGAACTGCACAAGTCGCTCTGATAGCAAAGGCCTTCAATGTACCTGTTTTAGTAGCTTGCGAGACACATAAGACATGCGAACGGGTGCAAACTGATTCTATTGTTTACAATGAATTAGGTAAGCAATGAAGTTTTGTTATTGCAGTTATATATTCTAATTATGTAATATAAATACACAAAAGTTGTATATTACACACAATTATATCGCAACTTTTATATATTAGAATTATTAATATTGTGTAATAGTTGATTACGTTGTACACATTAAAATTATTGTGTCTATAAAATATTTGATAATATATTGTTTTTCAAGAATAATAATTGTTCTTTAATATCTGTTTGCTTAATTATTAAACTTTTTCATTAACAATGCATCTCGGATTCATTTTATTCAATGTTTTTTTCATTTTAGGTAACGCAGACGAGCTCGTGAACCATTATTCAAACGACAAATCAAAAAGGTCTTTGCTCTCGAATTGGCGAACGAAGAAGTCGTTAAATCTTTTAAACATTACATATGATGTGACTCCGGCCGATCTCGTAACGGCCGTCGTCACTGAATTGGCAATTCTGCCATGTACTAGTGTTCCTGTGATTTTACGAATTAAACCTTCTGAAATTTAAATACATGTTTCTTTAAAAAAAATTTTTTTTTTTGTAATATTTGAAAAAAGTTAACAGCTATTGGAATTGCTTGAAAGTACAACTACACGGATATATAATGTATTAATCCACTAATATATATTTATTATAATTATAATAAATATATATATTTAATATAATTATATTTAATACAATAATTATATTAATTGATCAATAATAGTAATATATGACAAATTAGTACGATTTATATATACGACATTATTATATATTGCATTGTGTATAGTTTTTAAAATAAACTTAATACATTCACTGCTGCAACATATAACTTCATACACATTTCTGTGAAATCAATGCAGTAGTCAATGTGTTAAATTAAAAACTGTGCAATGCACAAAAAAAGATATATTATTGAGAAAAATTTTGCCGATACCTATTAGGTTTTCTAATAATTAATTAGCATTTTATATATTTAACGACATCTTGTAACACGCTATTTAATACAGAAAAGATGCAAATATTAATTGTAAAAAAAAAAAAATAAATTGTGCTTTGGAGATAAAGCTTTAATTGAGGAATTAAAATCTAATCGAAGTTTTTCATTTATATCACACCTTGATATATTCTTTTTCATTTTATTTATATATATAATAATTATAAGATGTTTTAGCACACAAATTATTTCTTTTGTGCAGCTGCAGCTGCTGCCGCAGCATCATCTTCGCGCTGGTATGATTGCAGAAGTTCTTGTTTTTTCGAGGCAATGCGCTCTGCACGACGTTTGCGTGCCTCCCTAACTTTTGTGCGCCTGGCTTCAGCCTGGTCAGACAACATCTCGGCGCGAGCCTTTTCCGCCTTCTTCTTATGGATGAACTCCATCAACACTCGCTTGTTTTTAAACACATTACCTTTAGCCTTCATGTATAATGAGTGGTACAAATGTCTATCTATCTTCTTCGTCTCGCGATATTTCTTTAAAAGACGTCGAAGTACTCGCATTCTTTGAATCCAAAGATCCTGTATAATGCATATAAATAATGTAATATAAATTCTTTCAATTTTATTAACTGCATACAAACGATTAGATAATTATTATGATTTGAAAGGTAGAAAACGATTTAATTGTAACTGTTGAAGTATATACCTTTCGAGGTGTACGTGCATTTGCAGTACCCTTCCTTTTACCAAATCCGCAATGACGACCCTTGCGTCTGGCCTCGGTATTCTTGCGAACGCGAGCTCTCGAGTGTACAGCCACAGGTTTCTTGATGATAAGACCATCTTTGATTAATTTTCTGATGTTTTGTCCTGAAAGATACATAAATTGAAAATCTGTCAACATATAACTAAAAAAAAATGTGACAATAAGCAATTTTATTATCAGTCCATTTGTATATAAACATATAAAAAAAGCAACAATATAGATTATAAATAAAAACAAAACTTACGAGAATTTGTATTTGCGATTTCATTGATTTCATTAGGATCCAACCACACCTTCTTCTTTCCACATCGCATAACAGAGGCTGCTAGCCTCTTTTGCAGCTTTAGCGAACTGTTAAAACAAAAGTGCTTATATTAATACAATTTGTCAATTTTGTATTCGCACGTAGAATTGCACGTCTATAAAGTTATATTTTAACTGTCAATATATAACGAAAAAATCATTATTCTTTTGTCAACGAAAAGCCATGTGCTCATTAGAACACAGGCGGTATAGATCACGAAAATATTCTCAAATTTCCATCGAAAAATTGCATTTGTACGAATAGTCAAACTTAAACACGGATTTCGCGCCTTATGTCATTTGGCTTTTCAATCCGATTTAGCTACAATATTTATCGAAATAACATATTTCATTTATTGCGGTACACAAACCTCATCGTGTCCTACAGACTTCGCTCTGTAAAAGAAAGATGGCCGCCGTTGCTCTTCCTTCTTGAGAGGGAAAGTGGGAGAGCAGAAATTTAAGCCAATATCGCATGAAGAATTTCTTGTCCAATGACGGGATTGGCTGTTGTAAACAGTGTTGTTAGACGGGCTAGGTTTTTTCGCGCATGCGCGTATTACCGTGACGTAACCATGACGACTACAGTAACGTATGATGTTTGCGCGCGCAACTATGGACCAAGACCCTGGACCACGGAGTTTTGGCGGAATCGCAGGAAACAGATAAATTGAACGTACGTAAAAATAAATAAATTATTACAATATATGTAATATAAAAGTGTATTATTATAATTTATGTATATTAAAATTAATCAATAATTCAAATTATAAATTGTATAAATAAAAAACTAAACTCGTAATTTACGTATGTTATAACATAGGTACACGTATATGTATATATTTATAATTTCATTATTTGTTTATTGTATGTTTATATTTAACATTTTTAATTAAATTTATTACATTTATAATAAAAATTATACGATTCATTAATTATTTTAAAAAATTGTCAATAATTTAAGAAAAATTAAACAGAGGGGGAAATCAGGACCCCATTTCATGCGAGTGAGGGTGCGATTACATGGACGCGCGGAAACGCGGAAACGCGGAAGAGAAAGTAACTAAACTTTACTAGAGTCCCGCATTTCCGCGCGTTCCGTTCCGTCTGTTTTGATTGCCTTATATTACATGGATCACAGATTAATAGACAGATCGCCAAAGGCCTGCCTAAAGAAGAGACCGCCATCTTCGTGCGATAGACTTTGCCCCTTACCGACACACTTTGCCCCTGGTTCGAGTCCGTGCTAAATTTCGTAGACTTGAACCAAAAGACTTTGCCCCTGGTTCGAGTCCGTGCTAAATTTCGTAGACTCGACCAAAAGACTTTGCCCCTGGTGCAAGTCCAGGCTAAATTCGTTTGACATTACCAACAGACTTTGCCCCTGGTGCGAATCCAGGCTAATTGATCATGAGACCAATTTGAGAGATTTGGCCCCCATTGTGTGTGTGTGTGTGTGTGTGTGTGTGTGAGAGAGAGAGAGAGAGAGAGAGAGAGAGAATATTTTACATATATGCATATATATATATAAAATTTATTAAATATAAAAAATATATTTTTTACACATAAAATGTTTTTTTATTGAAATAATCACGATTTTAAATGTGATATAACACAGTGTTCAAAAATTTTTTAATTAAATTTTTTAATTAAATTTTATTAAAGAAAATTACTTGAAATTTTTTACATTAAGAATTTAAAGGCTCCTTATTCTCTTGTAGAAATTTATCACTACGCCAATTAATCACTTATTTTGAGTATTTAAAATACTATAATATACAGTAATTTAAGTATTCGAAATAAAAGTGATTAATTACTCGAAATAAGTGATAAATTGGCGTTACTAGTAATAAATTTCTATAAGGGTTGAAATAAAGTATAAGAGATAAATAGGCTATATGTGAGCCGTATGCGAAATGTGAGATGTAAGACGCATATTGAAATTTAATTTTTCGATATAACTTTCAAAAATGTACACGAGGTACAAAAAATTAGCTTGGACATTTGTAAGACTTAAAATTGGGATTAATTCTCAATTCTATTAATTAAATTTCGATATAACACACCTTACATCCGCGCACGGCTCACATATATATAGCCCATTTATTAGTGCAATTTTTAAGTTCCTTATTTTTCAAAGTTCACCTTTTTACGTTATCAAATATTTTTACGTTTTCAAGAATTTTATATTTTTACTTACCGCAGTTTCTTATCCAAATGTAAAATCTTTTATCGCAGTCTATAAAAAATTGAAACAATTTACAATTTTATGATATAATATTATTATTATTACAATTTCTATATATATGCACATCTGTCAAATATCGTGATTTATTTCACATTATTATTATCTATTTTAATAAAAAAAAAAACAAAAACACTTGCAACAATCAAAAATAAACCGCCTGCCGCGAACGGAAAATGCCAAGAAAGCACGCAATTTCCGCGAATCTCGTAATTTTTTTGAAAAATCAACAATTTCAACGAAATTGTAAATTCTTCAAATCACTGCACAAGTATAATTCACAATAATAATTTTCAGTAACTACGATAAAAAATCGTATACTGAAAACCGCAAACGAAAGTGCAATGGGAGTAAGAGTAAAGTCTGTGATAAAATTAATTGGCAATAGAAAATTAATAATTTTCAAATAGAAAAATTTTGAAATTACCGAGGATTTACAAATAATAAAGTAAAAATATTAAATAATTTATGTTTTCGAATTTTGCTCGCGGAGAGGATCTTTAAAACAAGATTTTTAGAAGAGAGGACCTTTAAAATATAAACAGGCAAAAACGTTGGAAAAATTAAAGCGCGCGTTTAAACAGATAAACGCAATGAAATAAATACGCAATTGTTTTTACTTATCGCTGTAAGCTCACAAGCTTCTGACGTGCTATACACTTTTATATAATATATACAAGGTGTCCGGTAACTAACGGACCAATGATTAAGGGCGGATTCTCTGGCCAATTTGGAGACGATTTTTCCTTAGCAAAAATGTTGAGAAGTCAATAATTTTCGAGTTATAAGCGATTGAAAAAAATAGGTTTTTTGAAAACTAAACGTTTTGGAGTTAAAAGTCTAACATAATTACATTCTTCAGTTAATTTCAGGTAGAGTTTACTATAATAAAATTTTAATTTAAGGCTTAGTTATAAAGATACATAATGACAAAGATTGGAAAGTTGTAAAAAATGATGACCTTTTTCGACATTTTCGCTGAGGAAAAATCGTTCCCAAATTGACCAAAGAATCCATTTGTAATCATTGGTCTGTTAGTTACCGGACACCCTGTATATTGGACACGAGTTTCGTTTGTTTCAGATTCTCGAGAGTTGAAGTAGGAACATACGAGTATCATATATCGTTTGTGACTTGCCGAATGAAAGCAAGACAGAGAGCGAACGAGATGATGAGCTTAATAGCTCATAATGTTATAAATAAATAAATAAAAAATTATAACCTGACCTACTAGTTATTGAATCTTTTTTTAATAAAATGTTTCATTATTATTATCATCTAAGTCTAAGTCGTTTAATTACTTTTTAGTTTTTTAATAATTAATTTAATTTATTCTAGTCATTTTTATATGAGAAAAATAATATCACGTATACGTTTTATAATGAATTAATATATTTCGGGAACCGAATTATATATTCTTAATAATATAAAAGTGTTCAAAAATTATATTTGACTTTTAATTTTAATTATTTTATAGCAAAGAGTTCCGAAATCTCTTACACACATAATGGGGATTTTTTTCATCCATATAATTCGCAATTAAGTATATATGTTAATTATTAATTTTAATAAAATAAAAATTAAAATTAAAGGTCAAATATAATTTTTAAACACAAATATATTAAATTAATTATAAAACGTATACCCATGATAGTATTTTTCTCGTACAAAAATAATTAGAGTAAATTAAATTAATCATAAAAGATTAAAAATTAATTAAAGAATTTAAACTTATATTTTATATAATAATAATAAAACATTTTATTACGTCAAACCGTCGTGAAATAATTAAATAAAATTTGCTAGTTACGTCAAAGTCAAGTTTTCTAAGCTTATAAAACATTTTATTAAAAAACAGATTCAATAAATATAAGTACATGTTATATATATACTTATATTTATTGAATCTGTTTTTTTTATAAAATGTTTTATTATTATCATATATAATATAAATTATTTAATTATTTTTTAATTTTTTTATGAGTAATTTAATTTGTTCTAGTTATTTTTGTACGAGAAAAATACTATCACGGGTATACGTTTTATAACGAATTAAATATATTTATGTTCAAAAATTATATTTGACCTTTAATTTTAATTTTGTATTTTATTAAAATTAATAATTAACATATATACTTAATTGCGAATTATATGGATGAACAAAATCCCTATTATGTGTGTAAGAGATTTCGGAACTCTTTGCTAAAATAATTAAAATTAAAAGTCAAATATAATTTTTGAACACTTTTATATTATTAAAAATATATAATTCGACTCTCGAAATATATTAATTCATTATAAAACGTATACGTATTAGTATTTTTCACATATTAAAATGATTAGAATAAATTAAATTAATTATTAAAAAACTAAAAATTAATTAAACGACTTAGACTTAGATAGATGATAATAATAATGAAACATTTATTAAAAAATAATTATAATAGGTCAGGTTAATATTTTATTTATTTATTTATTTATAACATCATAAAATTCTGTCCTTTCCGAAATACGCGAACGCTACGAAAAGATAAATCTCGTACATGCCGCCGGACGAGTTCATGAGCATGAGACGCTCTTATCTTGGGAACGTATTAATAGTTACTGCATTGACCACTACTACGATATGGCGCTGAAATCAGTGAGAAATGCTGGTCTCTCCTTCATGCAGACACAGATTAATAGACAGATCGCCAAGGTCTGGATGAAGGAGAGACCAGCATTTCTCACTGATTTCAGCGCCATATTGTAGTAGTGGTCAATGCAGTAACTATTAATACGTTCCCAAGATAAGAGCGTCTCATGCTCATGAACTCGTCCGGCGGCATGTACGAGATTTATCTTTTCGTAGCGTTCGCGTATTTCGGAAAGGACAGAATTTTATGATGTTATAAATAAATAAATAAATAAAATATTAACCTGACCTATTATAATTATTTTTTAATAAATGTTTCATTATTATTATCATCTAAGTCTAAGTCGTTTAATTAATTTTTAGTTTTTTAATAATTAATTTAATTTATTCTAATCATTTTAATATGTGAAAAATACTAATACGTATACGTTTTATAATGAATTAATATATTTCGAGAGTCGAATTATATATTTTTAATAATATAAAAGTGTTCAAAAATTATATTTGACTTTTAATTTTAATTATTTTAGCAAAGAGTTCCGAAATCTCTTACACACATAATAGGGATTTTGTTCAT